TGGAAAACAAATAGAATTGTCGGCGACTGTTACTTTGATATTAACTAATTACTGGCAATAACGACGAAGCTTATAAAACGCTTCATCTTATTCATGCCGACAGGATAGCAAATAAGACACGCCATAAACAAAATGGCGCCTGCCGAGACGAAATATTATTCCACCAAGGGGCAATGTTGGTCGTATCACAGTCCGCGACATTACATCGTAAGCCGAAAAGCAGAAACCAAATATGGTATTTTACTTAGATTCCCTGTTTGCTGCTAAGCAGTGGGTTTATTGCTATAAACTTCTTTCTGAGCTTCTTGTATTTTTCAACAAGTTGCATATAATGAAACAAATGCGGGACAAAGTGGTGGCGATAGAAGAGTGTAATAATGCTAGCAACGAATCGGGATCGAGCCCCGTAGAAGGCATTTTAACAAACAAACTTGAAATCAGTTACAATCGATGTAATTGAAGATCAGCTTTCAATATGACTTGACTCGACACTCGACACAAATATCTTACGTGTACTTTAAACACACATAAATCTTTGTATGAAAAGAGTAGCATATAATGCAGGATGAGGTGTGGCATCTTTTATTCGCATCATTTGTTACCGGAAGAGGTGTCAAATTGTGCGACGGACGATCCAATTGATTTGCAAACAATGGATACAAGAGAATATTACCGAGAAATATAAAACACTTGGTAAATAATAGCAAGATGGTTTATTTATTGCTATATACCTTTAATCCCATATGACAGTTCTTCAAAGTGTGGAAGACATGAAGAATTTTATTTATGGCCTTTAATTTAAGCCAATGTTATAAATATATTTTCGTACCGCCTTAGATTATCCGAAGCGTCGTCATAAATGACGTCATACGCTACTCCATATTTTTAAGTGACGGTGGCAAGATGACTCAAGCTTTGGATGTAAATATCTGATCAACTCTCCAACATTTATCGACCAATGGCTTACTCTGCTTATCAAATAGGCGAATTATTACAACTTACATATAGCTTTACTTCGATATTATAGTTAATTCCCTTTTTTCTTCAAAAATATTGATAATAAAAAAATGACAAGACATTTTTGTTTAAAATTTAATATTTCAATACGTATTTAAGATTCCTTTGGGTTTTGCCGAGAACCTCAATCCGATTGATCGAAATTGAAATATATATGACAACTTGTTCCATCTACAACTCGGTACGATCGCTATTGACCTCATCAAAAAGTGATCACTTTTTTAATACTAATAAGTTTTTTATATTGGTCTTCAATTTAACGATAAATTTAAAGTCTTCCTTCCCCATATCAAAATTTCGAAATAATCGATCATCTTATCAGTGAAAAAATTGTTACCATTATACAGGTCAGTAAAATAATGCATAATGTAACCTTTTTTGTAACCTTTCGTAGGATATATCGCCCAATTATGCTGCCGTATTCAAATTCAGCACATTCAAACTATACAGCTTGGAATACTGGAGTGGTTAGCGCACAAATTGAAATGGATATTTACTGACAAAGTGAATGTTGAAACAAGCATATTTACACATTAGAGAAACCAGTTATTCATAAACATTTAAATACATTGAAGTAGTGTACTCTCGCCGTCGATAAACGCCACTCCCAATGTTTTTGCACATTTCAAAATATGAAATATGCAGTGAAGTGCTTTCGGCACACCACAAGAGCTATTACACGGAAGACGGAAGTATATTGTGCATCTGAAATTATTGATCGCATATTGATGACATGAATCTGTAGGATGTGATATGTAGTTTCCATACTCGTACAGGAGAAGATTCTATGTGGGATAAATTATTTAAATTAATAAAAATTAAACTTAAGAATACGAATTTTGTCTATTAGCACGAATACCATATAGAAAGCGAATGACAAGAGTATTCAATTCGTTAATAATAATCGAAATGCTTAAAGATGAGGGGCGTTATTTGAGCCGGATTATTCATTTTAAAGGCCGGAATTATTTTATTTAACACTGAGGCACCATTAAAATCTGGCTATGAAAACTGGGGGAGGGGGTGTGTGCCCCCTTTCCCTTGGTGTCCCAAGTAGGGATGGCGGAATCGAGTCCGGATTCGAATACAGAATTGATATTTCGCGGAATCGACTAGAATCGATTCTGATGCATTGGAATCGATTCTCGAGGTTAAAACTTGGATTGCTAACAAACAATGTGTAACATTTTGTGGCAATTCCTTCACATATATGTATAAACTGCCTTACTACTATGTTGAGTTGTTACGACGCCGCAAACTTCACTATATATATATATTTCTCTAGAAGGTTTTTACGTTTATTCATTTCTAGAATCCCTTTGGGTTCTGAATTATTCTATTTTTGTGCGATTTTGTCTCCTGTGACACATTGGATACCCATACTACTTAGTTTTGGCTTTCTTTTCCGTCCATATATTTGGACATAGCTCTCTTGTTTTTTTTTTATGGTATTGCACGTGCTTATTTTGCCTAATGGTTAAGTTAATCCAGCCCATGGCGTTACCTGCGGTTACCATGAATATGATCATTATTTACAGAAAATTTCGTTTTGGATTAGAAATAAATTAATTTATATTAGTCAGATAATAGTTGGAGGCTCTTGGAGCAAACAAAAGTAAGATAAACATACAAAAATAAGATTTAGAAAGGAATGATTATCCTAAACTGTGTAGAATGAAATTAGCATGAGTGCTTTCGCTGGAAATAAATTATTTAAAATCGAAACAAAATGTCGGACAGGTTCATTTAAATTGTCTTGTTGTTTCACAAATTTAGATTAATATTGAATTTGTTATTGTTTAGAATATACCACAACGGACTTTACAAATATTTCTTCCTTGATGTTTAATATTTTATCCCAACAAAACAATGATTTGCAAAGTTCGGTCACAGCATTCGCATTCTCATTGATCGTATTCATTTTTCTGGCTTCTGAAAATTTCAGTTATGAAAAAGGTCAATATTGGCAAAAGATTATTTTCCCTTTTGCGCTCCCGTTCTAATCCAGGTCATAAGAGGTATGATCTTCCGATTACAAACTCAATCAATATTCTACGATCGTTGGAGGATAGAGAAAACAGCAGCATTCATAAAGGAAGAAGACAATAGATGCGATATCGACAGCAAAAACAGTAATAGCGAAAGTCGTGTGCGGGATCACAGCGCGAGAATACTGTTCAAGTGACATAGGGTAAGGTGTGGTTGATGTTTTATATGTCACGGGGAATAGAAATTAGTCCGGGCCAGATCCGGCCCGCGTAACAATATAATCCGGTCCGCGACGCTTCACTGAATTATATTAACAAAACAACTGTATTGACGATTATATTCTTTACGTAACAGAATTTGTTTTGAGACACTAAATTATAATATAATCTAACAAGTATATAATTTACAATCACTCGCCAATGAGTTGCAACCTTTAATTTTGGCCCGCGAACGACAAAAGTTTGCCGACCCCTGCAATAGACAGTTGCGACATGTTTTTCAGAAACCAACAAAATAATTTGAAGCGATTTGCAACAAATGTTGATGCCGTGGATTCTTGCAATTCAACTGCAATAAAAGCTTGACTTTAGGGCCAATGTGTGTTATCTTGAAGCAAACCATACAAATGATTCTAACTTCAGTGATGATGTAATCGTCATATACACACAATTCTGGACGGAATATGGAGTCCCATATGATTTAGCAGAAATTTAAGAAACATCAGAATTTTAGGCTTCCCCTCCATATCTAAGTATTGAACGTTGTAATCGATAGGCTCAGATCCATTGGACTACCCATGGCTATGTACTTTTCTGAAAATAGTTTTGACATTAACCCAAATAACTAGTCTCCTTAAATTCATTGTCTACTTGCATGTATGTCCTAATAACATTAGTCAGTCATATAGACAAGATTTAATATAATGAAAAAATAATTTTTATAGTTGGGGACTTCCGTCCTCAAGATGTTCGGCAGCATTTTAAAAACCGAAACTATTAAACTTCAACCTCGACCCACTACCTTATCACCCTCAACCCACCTATCCTCGGCCAACTGAGGATAATTGAGGTGATAAACATAAAAAAAAAACTATTCTATTTACAACCATTTTAAAAACCCATCCGAATGGATGTTTCTCCAACCCTGGACCCCGTAGTAATTCTTATACTTTACTATTGCAAAATTTTGATGTCTATTTTAGGAATGTTTGGGGAAGTTAGCGTTTATAAACAGAAGATATGTTTGGTACCATTATTTTTGTTAAAAATATTTGCTTACAGGTACTGATAGCTGAATTTAGCATAGTCTGTGTCAGGGCTACTCAACTATTTTTATCGAAGGTCCGCAAACAAAACTCCAAAATTATTTGGGTCCGGTCTTTCCGGAAATGGTATTTCGGCATCCTTAAACGAGCCCTTCTCGACCGACTAATGATTAGTAGCAAATTAAAATTGTTTATTAGGGTGTTATAGTTCTTTTCGTATATATTCAAAACTATGAAAGTCATTTTATAATAGGAAATTCAAAAAGTATGGCTAATGATCCAAAATAAATAATTAGGTGCGGTCCAAATCCAATACTCGAAAGGTCCGGATTCGGACCGCGGTCCGCCAGTTGAGTAGCCCTGGTCTATGTTATGGCGAGCCTTTTTGAAACTCATTTTTGATTATTGCAACTAAATTAAAGCTTCTTGGAAAATATAATGACACTAGAGTTATCTCTTTTACAACTGACATTCGGAAACACAACCGGAAACTGACAAATACCACGCATAACCACGAAAACTATGCAATGTTTACAACCGTGCTTGAATATCCGTCTGTGTGAAAGAATTGTCTGGGCGGCCACATACATTTCCAATGTTTCCACTGTTTTGACTTTGCTGATTTGGGATTGTTGCGCAACTGAACAGGAGAATCAGCAGGCGGAATTTCAATTGTTACATAACCGTCAACTCGTTCTTCCCATTTTCTTGGCAATTCGTGACATGTTCCCACGTGGTGGCACTGCAGGGCAAAACTTTACTAGGGGACCATCATTATATTAGTCGTTGGGGATCACAGTTGACCTCGAGCATGTACAGATGTATGGATAGTTCGTCATCAGCCATGGCTGCTGTTTCTGCTACACAAGATCTATGTGCTTATCATCGTCATTCTTGCTCCAGGCCCAGGTAAACTCTGAAAACATAACGAGATAAGAAATTGCTATTATGTTGTACATACCGATACTGAAACATACCGGTGTGGCTCAACGGGCTAAGCGTTAGGAATACGCTCGCCACCGCACCTCTAATTACTCTGCGTGGGTTCGCAGGTTCGAATCCAATGCAGGGATGGTTATGTGCGAGAGGATTGCTGGACTCCTCGCCGTCGTTGGGTGGTTCACGTAACCGCTGGTCGGTTACGGCTTCCTCCACCACCAAGTCCATGCTCCCGAAAACAAACAATACAGTAAAACTAATCCCATACCCAACTTGGAATGGTAACCGGACGAGAGGCCGTGGTTCGCCATATGGATAAGCCGTCTTATTCACTTTCCTCTCCCCCGGGATAAATATGTAAATCCTATCCTATCCGGTACCTGTATGCCGTAATACTGATATACGGTATTATTCATTGTTTGCAGGTATCAAACTTATAAATTTTGTGCTCAGCATGTGTTGGAGGATGAGTCATCTCCTTTTACATCATGTGAATATATATCAAGATCAAGTGGCAGAAAATGTCCGAATCCAGCTCTTCGACCAAGACGTACAAGCAAGTGAGAATCAGATTTAAATAGACAACTTCAGTGGTTCCCAAACTTCTTGTTCGTGCGGCGCCAGATTATCAGGGAAAAAAACTCACCGTGCATTTGCACAAAAAATGTTGCTTTAAAATAAAACTCAATTTTGTGATAGTTATTGTGTATTTTATGCCTTTGGACAATTTGTAAACATGTAGGCCTAATTATTAAAAGCAAAAGGTTAACTCTTCTTTTTCATCTCCGCCTTATTTTTTTTTAAAAAGGCTTAAAAAAAAACTTGCATGTTTACTAAACATGACATTCTGACATTTGCAAGTTTTGTTGAGCCACGTCCACCAGAAGTACATGCAGACATGTGCTAAATCACACCTGACTCTAAAAATGTAATGTAGGATTTTTATATAATTGTGTGTATCCTTTATCGTTGTTTCTTCATAAAAATAACAACAGTTCTTGAATTTTGTAGTCTGCCTTCATTTTGTGATGAGCATCTACGAGATTTAATTGCAAAAGAACAACATCAAAAGCAAAAGAGGAAGACTAAGAAGCGGAGAAAAGCAGGGAAGATTAAAAACAAGTACCTAAAGTACTAGATTTTAACCAATTAAATTTCAAAGGAACTCCAAATCTCTGGACTATCAGTACTGAGAAATAGGAAATCTTATGAATGTCATTCTCTGTCTGAATTTTATCCCATCTATTTATAAAATATGATTTACTTATGACAGCAGTTACATAAACCACCCCACAGTTACAGGGAGTCCACCAATTTATTCTCATATAATTATCCCCTGTGGAATTCGATACTGCGAACCCATGCAGGGTAATCAGATGAGCGGTGTCAAGTGTATTCCTAACGCTAAGCATGGTGCGCCTCACCACTGAGCCTCATTAAATGTATAAAGTAGGGGCCATTCATCTGCTTTTATTTATCATGTAATTTTTTGAGTATTTACTGAGACTAGTATTATTCGTTGGTATGGTTTAGTTCAAGGTTTGAGTTCACAATTATTTTCACTGATTAATGATAATCAAATCAGTATATTCATTCTTAACAGTGTCATAGATGCAAAAAGACGAAAACTTATCGGGCAGATCACAAATATTGGACAGGATTCTGTAAAGGTTGAGGACGGTTCAGGTATATTAAACATTAAAATTTTGGTACTCAATTTTTTCATGTTTTTCCTTCACCTGATTTAGCAGGTCCTCATTTTGAGTTTGTTTTCTTGTTTAATAAATTTCACACCTAATGTAGTATTTCATTAAAGGCATTATGCTGTGCATAGCAATACTTGCAATAAATAAATAACTTTACTCCCAAGCAAATACTGTTTTTATTGAATCGCTTTCTCTTGAATATTCTTTCAAAAACATACCTTCAAAACTGGAGAAATATGCCACAATAAAATAAGATATGTCATGTTTGTGATCCCTCTGCTTTTTGACTATTACTCCTCTTAGACTTTTATTCACTACTCTATATATGTTTTAATAGTTAGATTCTGTTGCTCTTTGTTCATACTCCTATGGTCATTTTCAGGTATGTCTAACAATTTCTATATATTTTTATCAAGATTCAGACACAGAAATAGTTCATAGACCAATAACAGATGATTGGAAACTAGAAAACTCAGAAGATTTAGCCAACAATGCTGATTGGGATGATTTTGATCCTGTCAATAATGAAGTTTATGAGCCATTGAGATATGCTAGTAAGTCAACTGGTATTGTCAACTTGCTGTGTAATTCATAAGAATATTTCATTTTTATAAAAGTTTTCTTGCAAAGCTACGTCTGCTCATTTCGGAGTAACACAATCCATCTGAGAGTAAAATCGTGTCCACCGACATGCTAAAACAATTTAAAAACTTGTTGGAATTTTATAAGTTTGCAAGATGGTTGAAGCAGCTGTACTGACAACAATTCATTTACTCTGATCCCCATCCCTGGCATGTCAATAATCTTTGAATTCTAATAAAAAAATTCAAAAGTTGTTAGCAAGAAAGTGACAAGATTTGAAGATTAGTTGCCTGCGATTATCCAGGGATGGAAGTCATTTATAACTGCCTCGTTAATCTGAGTCATTTAAAAAGGGACACTGAGTCATGGACTCCTGGGGTTCTGGCAGATGAAAATTTTGACTTTGGACTCCATTGCCATGTTAAAGAATAACTTGACTTCGATTTGAGACTCAAACTTTAAGAACTCGAATGTTGGTCATAAAAACATTGGCTTATTTAGGCAAGCCTTCTTTAATCTTTACCACCAATGTTAGAAGTTTGAAAGTTTGATTTTCCACTCCAGGGCAGGAGGCTTCAAATTGTACCTCTGACTCAAAACCGACAATAAAAAATAAAATATACCAAGCTTCGCATCAGCTATATTTCACATTGTTTCACATTCTCAATCATAACTTATGTTCATTTCAGATGTTCTCACACCTGAAGAGGTTGTAGCAACAGCACAAAGTAAATTGATTCGATTGCAGTCTCTTTATATCGAACAATTCAAGAGACTTTTCCATCTACTTAAAGAGAGAAAAAGACAGTATCTGCATGATTTGAAAAAAGAGATGAAAGAGGAGAAAATATCTGGTGCAGGTTGTCAATAATTATTTGTTCATTTTTTTCAGGGATATTTTCATATATTCTTTGAAGCCAATTTAAATAAAGTTAATATTCCAATAACATAACATAATAATATCTTTGATTCAGAAAAACTTCTGAAAATGATCTCAATTAGCTTATTGTGATAACAAACACAATAATATTCAATACTATTTTTCATTCCTAAAAAACAATGCTATATGTTATCTCTGAATATGTAAATATTGTCCATTAGACACTCTTTTAAGTGGGTTATTTAGAAAAGTTTGATGAGGAGTTTGATTAAAAGAAAAAGTATGGAAATCTTACGTGTTTTATGCCAAATTCCATGAGCTAATTAACATTTTTCTTTAATCTAAAACGCATATGGTACAGACTGTATCATCTGGGTAATACTGATAACCTGATAACCAGGGCATTCCCGTAGTAAGTGTACCAGGTTAGGGTTAGGCCATAATTTTATTCCGATTTTCCTTATTTTAGTTCTATTACGAGTTCGGGGACTGTCTGTGTTAGCCAAGGGAATACACCCCCTGTCCATAGGCTTCCGTCCTTTTGCACAACTTGATGTAAAGTAGGTGAACAAAATTAATTATCTCCATATTAGTACACATACTTTATAGCGATAGATGATGAGCCATAAAATTGTTTGATAATAGAAGTTTTATACTCTTTGCTTCAGCATCGCTCACTGAGATAGAAAATATTGAAGGTATGGATGATGATGAGGTATACGCCTTAGCAACATATAGAAAGAGAACTGGAGTTGAAGTGCTTTTGAGGAAAAAACAACAAAAGCGCAGGATTGAAAGTAGCATAGCATCGGTATTTACATAGATTATGTTGATTTAAAATGTCTGCCATCAAAAATGATTTATATATTGAATACATTATACAAGCATAATTTTGTTGTGTAAATGTTTTTTTCTTCATCGGATATGTTGCATGATAGCAATTTATTAGTAATATTGTTTTTTTCAGACTGAGTTTCCAATAAAGTCCTCACCAAAATCCAGATGTTCCCATGCATCTAATAATACTAGATGTAAATCTACATGTCTACCATACACAAAGTATTGTTCAGCACGTGAGACAATTTATTTTTTCCCTATATTTGCTATCATAAGCTAGTGGACTGTGATTTGGAACATGTTTCTTCAATATGCTATATAAATAACTTTTGAAAAATGATGTAATGCATATCATGCCGAAAAATGAATATAACTTCTCGTTCACACTGTAATTTCGAGTAAGAAGGAGGTTATATTATGTCAAAATCTTTGCCTTGCTATCCTTTGTTTTCTTTTTGAATTTTATATTTGAAAATTGAATTTTTTATTCACTGTATATAATATGATCTACAATTGAAGTTTTATAGCATCAACCTATCCTGGTTCAGACATTTGATTGAAATGATATTTCATTCTTACTATGCAGATATATTGGAAGATCCACACCAGCTTTTGTATAAAAAGTGTCAAACAGATCAATGTCAGACCCCTGTTTGTTTTTTGTTGGCTCGAGATTATGAGATTGAATCTAATACTGATGATACGCAACCTGAAAAAGTGTTCTATTGCACTCTTCATGCTCCACTACCAGAAATGAATTTTAGTTTTATATTGGAGAAAGATAAGGAACAAAATGTGAGGAAAAATTTATATTACTTTGTCAACCAGAACATAGTTCAATTCCAGATTGCGCCAATGTCAGCTCAGAATATCTATTATTTTGCAACTTGAAACCTAGGGGAATAATAGTTTTAGTTTATGTGAAACGTCACTGTGCCATAATGCCAACAATATGCATTTGAGTGTATCTGAATGAAACTCTAAACTAAAGATTTTGGGGAATTCTCTTTTGAGATTCAGATATCTGTAGAGAGTAAATTGAAATGGAATGAAAGTTGAACTTGTGTCATGGAAAGTTATTAGCTGTCGATTTCCACACATTATGGGTATTAGTGATAATGTTATTAAAACTACATTTATTTTCCTTTTAATTTCAAGATGGAAGTTGCTGTTACAAACTCACCTAAAGCAGCTGCAGGTAAAAAATATTGTGTTTCTGTTTGTTTGAAACAAAACTAATGTCAACAGTTCTCAGCTAATTTTGCAATATTTTGTTTCAGATCAACTTAATGAATTATTGTCTGAAAAGGCAGATGAAAATCACGAAGTCGAAGCCATGGAGATTGACATTGTTTCATCTGATATTTCATCAATGCCAATTTCAAATTTTGTTCAAGAGGTTATCAAGTTTGGAACTATTGAGAATAAGGTTGAAACTAGTGAGGGACAGGAAACTGTGGTGCAGAATGAATCTGGTGATCAATCAAGCGCAAATGCAGATCCCAAAAACGAGGAAGACATCAAAGAAGACACAAATAAAAGCATAGTTTTAAAAACTGAAATGTCTTCAAATGATATTCAAAAAGACTTGAATGTGAGATTAGAAAGTACAGAAACCATTTCCTCTACTCAATCATGTAAACCGATGGAACAGGGTACAATTTCAGATGCACCAAAAGCTTCAATCATGGATCTTACCCAACCTACTGAAGAGAAGCCCACTATGCTTGAAGCTGAAGATATTAACACTTTACCTGTATCCCAAGGTGATGATAATTTACCATCTAAAAGTGAAAGTAACCATAACTCATTGCTGGAGCAAAAATCACCAAAGGAAATAGAACCCCCAAGTTCAGGAGAAATTGAAAATTCTGGAAACACCAAAGCAGCATCAGAGTCCAAACTTGACTTATTGCCATCTGAAAACTCTAATGTGCCTGTGCTCTCAGCTTCAGAAGACCAAAATATTGTGACTGATGTAGGAAGCAATGATGACCAACTTGCCGAAACATCAGACAACTATGATTCCGTTGCATTACCGAAAAGGTCTGAACCTGACAGTGAATCATTAATAACAAATTTAACAGATAAAATACCTTTAGAACAAATTGCTGAAGTAGTTGCATCATTGCCCGTGGTTTTGAAGCGTAAAGTCAAACCAATGCAAACTACCTCGTCTTTGCTTCCTAGTTCATCAAACAATTCACAACATGATACTCCTTTGACCTCTGTGGGAGATGATTTTGGTATGGAACATCGAAATGTAGCTAAAGATGAGGATAATATTACCACCGTTGGTGAGGTGCCAGTAACAAAAACCGATGATGCCCGCACTGTATTGGATGAAGAACCTAAAAATCCACAAAGATGTGACATACCACCAAGCAAATTGGAAGGTATGTGCCAACTTATTTATTCAATGGCATTTTCTGAGTTGATACTTATCATGCTTGAGTTTCGTGATAAACCAGTACTGATCTGGACTTTTAATCAGACAAGGGAACTTGTTTTGCCTCAAGATAAGGCTGTTTCACTGGTTTTAATTTTTGGGGATAAATACAAAAAAATTTTATTCCATTTTCACTGTTTTCGCTTTCAGGATTTGTGACATCAAAGGAGGTAAAGCCAATTGAATCGGATTTAGATATTAATATTCCCAACAAAGATTCAGCGTGTAATCTTGAACAAGCTGAAGATTCAGATGAAATTATGAGATCACATCTTCCAAACAATGATAACAATTGCAGCAATGAAAACAGTGATACACAATTACCCAAGGGAAGTACTGTCATTCGGCCAGGTGTGTGTTTTGTTCATTAGAATTTTATGTATTGGTTTTTGCTACTGTCTTGATAGTCTGTTCTGGATTGATAAGGATATGATGTTATTTTATGCAGCTCGGCTTGGTTAAATTGATTTTGCAAGATCGCTTTTGACCTGTGCTCTTGTTCACCAAGTTACAACTGCAAATCAAGCATACTTTCTCAGCGAATGTTAAAAGGTTTGCCAAAATTTTGTCAACTGAGAGTCTGAACACGAGCCATTATTAAAATGAAGCAGTTTGTAGTCAGAGCAGCCTGGTTTAAATTTTCCTGGACTCCACAGACCTGATCAAAGAAGCATTGTCTATATGTGTGTTTGATTATTGAAATAAAGATTTTGCAGTGTGTTCCTACTCTTCTGTCTAACTTTTTTCTATGCTTACCTCTGTCTATCTTCACTTTAATTTTAATTTAAGATGAGCCATCCACACTGCCTAAAATTCTCAAACCTGTCTTATCATCATTCATCGGACACAGAGGAGAAAGAAAACCATCTAGTGCCGATGAGGAGGTAGCTGTCGTCTCATTACTTTCTCTTTGCACGGGTCATCCCAGTGATGACAACACACAGTCTAGCTCTAACGAACAAGAGTGACATCGCTATGGTTGTATTTCTGATTGTTCAACAAAAATAAAAATGAAGTGAAATGAGGGAGTTCAAATATGTGGACACAGAGGCCGAAACGAAGTAGTATTGGTGTCTAAAAGCGATTTTTTCCACCACGAAAAGAAAAATAACAAAGATTCCTAGATCCACTTCTTGTCCAATCAAACTAGTGCATTAGCCACCTTGATAATTGGTTTGGATGAAAACAAGAATGTAGAAGTGTTAACTAGCCATCGTAATTGCGTAAACTTCAGCTACGAAGACCCTAAATAATATTTGATAATATAAATGTTTTTTTGTACTGAAGTCAATTTATATTCCGGAAGCGGCTCTGACTGGAAGTCAAAATGGATTAAATGACGTGTCGACGAAAGTTCTTAAATTGTTCATTTTTCATCTGCTTCTGGTGATTAATCGATATTTCCTGAAGATTAAATCTGCGGATAATATTCATGGTTTGCCGCTTCGTATTGTTTACAATTTTGCAAAGTATGCCTTGTGGACATTGATCACTTTACCGTAGGGACACCGCACCGTGAGGATTCCGGCATATGCAGCTTACATACTAGTGGCGAGAAAACGTATTAAAAGATAATAGGGAATTATTGTTCTTTTTCTCTCTCTAGGGCAAACTACTTACCGACTGTGCTGTTGCAAAACTCTAGTAGAAATTTGATAGATAGTACTGCTACTTGCTGAGGCAGCACAGAGATTAAAATACAACTTCTTCAAATGTTTGGCAGCACCACCAGATTCGAATGCTGTAGTCGATATTATTTTTGCAAAAGTCGACCTAGCTTAGTGTCTACAAAAATTCTATATTTGGTGACCACCCGGGCTTCTGTGCTATTGTATAGAATCCATTCAACTCCGTCAGTACGTAAAGTATAACTTTATTTCAAATTCATAATCGACAAAACAGGCAATAAATTGATACAGATTACAGAATCCAGAGAGCAATCAAAATTTCAAATAATGTGTGAAACGTACGGAAATTAGATGAAAAGGTTTTATCAAAAGAAGTTGTATATGCTCACTCACCTAAATTTATGATATTTAATATTAGAAATATCACAAAATAAAACGAGAAAATCAGAAAAAAATTTTCACAGTATATATATAAATAGTTTTGCAAGGATTGCCAAATGGTATGTCGAATTAACAAGTAGGCCTACAGATGGTCAAAAATAACTTTTTCTTGAAATGTATATATATATATATATGGCATTTAGCTAGCTTTTCATGGTAGGAATAGTCTCATTTAATGAGCATTCACGAGATTCGCAATGATTTTTTCGCCATTGAGTCTATGCCAGCGATTTTTTATTTCACAGGTGCTAAATTTCGGTTTTCATTGCATTGTTCTTTCGTTAATGACTCCGACGAGGATGCATGACGCCGGTTATTGTTTTGAAATTCCCCTCCTTCAAACGTGAATTGAGACGTTCTTGTTTGTGCGACTGATACTGTTTTGCCACAGTCTGTTTGGGAAATAACAAGTACATTAAATACAAGTAAAAAAGGAAAACAGCTGGCAAATATTGAGATTACACCTCGCGCGTATTTATGAGAGTTTACGTCAATTTGATGCCCCGATAGATCTATTTACTAACAAGCAGATAGGTTATGTATTGAAATTTGTAGGTTATAGTTTGTTCATTCCAGTTTGATAAGTTGACCGTCGTTATTTACGCAACAAGTTGTAGCCCACATAAACGATGGGCATGAAAAAATCTGAATTCCGAATAGGATGGCGAAACTTATATTTACTTATTGCAATTACACGTTCCAAACAAGTGCAATTTATCATAATTTTAAAAACTTACATGCTTGGTAAATTCTCAATATCGTCTCCTTATCTCGCGTTCCGAGTGCGTTTAACAGTCCACATATGAAGAATCGTCTTCGAAGTTTGACAGACGCGGGAACTGTATCAGTATCGCTACATGCAGGCCATTTCAACGTAGCATACACAGTGTATTTGAATGGTAATGCACAATCTACATATAAGAATAAATATTAGTCATTCGTCTGGGACTTGAATTGCTTGCGCTACGAGTTTCGATATAGCACAAAAACAAAGCATCGAAAGATATTTACATATCACGAGTATGTGATATAAATAGATATTGTTTTTATTGGTTTTGTTTTTAGTTAAATATAGCAGGGTAAATATAGCTTCAATATAAACGAAAGTCGGGAAATTCGCTTTCCAATTTATGCTTTTCGATTCGTAATCTAGGGCTGAGGTCTGTTGCTACAAATAGAATCTCTGCTTTGCGGCCGTCCATAAATTGAACGTAAGTGGGGCAAATTGTTAACCAAACGTCCCGGGTGAAACAGTTTCCCCATTACCGAACCCTAATTTTGCCACGATGAACTGATATAGTCTTTACTAAAACATATTATATATATGTATGCATACATATGCATTACGAACAATACCTTCCACGACGATTGGCAGGATACGCTTCTTCCACCCTCCGGGATCCATGTGATGTGCTAGTAACGCTTCATAGTTTTGCCACGATGAACTGATATAGTCTTTACTAAAACATATTATTGTTACACGGGACTCCTTTACTGACGCTGTAGGGAAGAAAAAATTTGATAAATAAACGTTTGTTTCGAGTGAGAATAAATTCCAATAATTTGCCTGTGACGCTTCGGTTATTTTTTAACTTCGTCACAGTGACAAAACTTGGCGAATCGAATTAAGCAACGCAAAATAGGAATGGTTATTTCCACATCGCTCATCCTCCGCATCATTTCATGACATCAGAGAAAATATTTACATGTCTATACAAAAAATCTGAACGTCACACTTAATCGTGCTTTTGATTTTGTATGTCTGAGTCATTGGAGGAAGTTAAAAGTATTAGGAAGTGAAATTTTCGATACACTGCTGATTATATTAAGGAGTTATTTTGGTTTCAAATTATCGCTGTTACAACTTGTAAGTGAATAAATTGGTTGATTTGATGGCGTACCTGCAATATTTTTCACAGTTGTCACGCCAGGCAAGCTATCTCTGTCATGCAAATAGCAACACAAGCCCAACTCTTCCTCAAGTATTGGAAGAAGAAACTGTTCAACCCACACTTGTTGATTTTTGTGACAAGATATGTTGACGTCATAGCGATATTGTTCTAAAATACAAAAGAAAATTAATGTGGACGGCTATATTATGCTTTCTTCCGAATTTTTTTGAAATATAATGTTGATTAGTTTCATCATTTCTATACTTCGGCTGGGATCATGCAATTGTTTCGAAATATAATGTTGATTAGTAGTTCGTGATAGATAAAATATCTGATATAAAATATCTGAATCTCTTAGTAGCTATGATCACGAGCTACTAATCAACATTATATTTCGAAAGAATTGCATGATCCCAGCCGAAGTATAGAAATGATAAAACAGGAGAAGATTGCATCATATGTATATTATAAATCCATCTGGTCAACGAGCACTTACTTAATTAATTCGGAAGAAGTAAACACCGAGATGGGATAATCAAGTAAACATGTTTTCATGAAAATGCGGAAGTGACCACACTGAATGCATATGGGTACTAGAATTTTCTTAACCATAATCTAAGCACCACATCTCGTCACGTATGATTATAATGTTTCCGCATAATTCGGGATTGCAACATAATTACGAACTGAGAGGTCAACCTGTTCCAAACATTACTATCTCATTGACGTGAATGGATGCTGCCGAGCAAGACTGAGTCATTGCATGGCAGGGTATATGAAGATTGTGTAATGGACTCTGAACCTTTAAGGGGATACGATAATTTTGGTACCGTAAATAATGAAGCAAAAGAATACAGTTCAAGTTCGATTAAGTTTTGGTAAAAATTACTGGGATGCTTAGGCCATCTAGACCTATGAAATAGAACTTGTTTAGTTCTCCTTTCAGCCTGTCAAGCCAATTAAAGTACTGCCTGTAAATGTATCTTTCAAAAATGCCAAAAATTATTCCTAGGCATTCGTGTGTTAGCAGGGATAATGGAAAAATCTAACACTCACCGTTATCTTGCTCACAGCCGGTTTCAAACGGACTTTGAAAAAGTGATAATTGTGATGTTAGTTGTGTTACTCTGCAATGATCATCCGACCTGGATAAATTTGTTGGATATGAAAACGATCTATCCGGTATCTTTTTAGAATGCCTATTTGCTGAAGTTTTTGAATGACTTTCGTTACGGTCACTCCGTTTGTTGTACCGGGTGGACGGAATTTTTCTCAATCTGCCACCTGATGTTTTACGCAGATTGATTCCCGTTTTTGATTCGCAATCAGTTCTTTTTGATCCCGTCGGTGCGGGGGTAATTTCTCTGCATTTGTCGCTTGGTTTACTGGCCATATCTGCATTCTTTCCGAAGGCAAATGCAGCAGTCTGTTTTAGTTTCAGTGCGGACAGCATTTACTGTTTTAGATGAAATGCCTAATTCGCTATTAGAATATTACGACTAAAAATAAAGTTTCTTTGTTCAAATTCTTTGTTAAAAAACGTCCTCAGCGGCGCCGCTCCGAAGTAATATTGCAACGGCCAATTGAATATAGCTGTATAGCCAATTGAATAGCTGTAGCCTACTGTTGTCGACGAAATAAGATCTTTCTGGTCACGACCACTTTGTGATATGTAAACAATATAAATACAATATATATATTGATATAAGCTCTTGGATTTGAATGTGAACCTACGGAACTCTAGGGCGCCGCAGATCCACAGTTGAAAACCACTGTTCTAAACTATAACTAGAGCTGGGCCTTTTCGAATACCTTGTGATTTCAGAATCGAATCGAATTTTTTTTTCGAATCGAATCGAATCTCGAATACTTGAAAATATATAATTTTAAGCGACTTTATTATAGTAATTGATCCTCTCAACAAATGAATTACTGAAGACATAGAATAAATCACCCAGATAGATTACTGAGCGTTCACACAGAATAACAAACACGTTTTATCAATAACTCACTACAGAAAATAGTCATATGTTAAAATTTCGTTGAATAAATATGACTCTAATGAAAAAAAAATTGGGGAATTCACCTCGACCATTAGCGGAAAGATGAAAACAAGATGGCGGCGATTCGAAATTTAGCTCTGAACCGATTCGAATAATTTACTATTCGATTCGAATATTCGATTCGAAATGCCCAGCCCTAACTATAACTAGCCTACACTCCACCTCCAAATAAGACGGCATATTGGATCACGATAATGTATTAAGCGTTTATATATCCTGTTATGAAAGTCCCATGATGTCATACCGAAGAAGGAAAAAATGAATTTATTTACTACAGTCACGGCCCAAGACGTGCATTAGTCCTCTCACGCAGTTATTACTTCCTTTCGTTATTGTGATTTTGTATGACAGCGTTTTATCCATTTATGATGTCAAAGCTATCTGGGCGATTGCCTAATCAAAACTCTAATGTATCACCATGTAATTATATAAGGATGGTTTATCACTACACTGCATACATAGGTTTAAATATAGCTCCATAATAATGCGAAGAGTACTAAGACAGCGGAATATTAAAAAAAAATACACAAATTTTTACGCAAAAAACATCTCATTTTCTTGTAGTATTAATAAAATGTTCAACAGGTCCAAGCAATCCTGATTCAAAAAAGAACGGTGGTGTTCGTGTAGTTCAGGGTTGTCCAAACGCGGGCGCATGAACAATTATAGCGTGCACTGAACCATTGGAAGGTATTTGTATTTATTGGCAGAACATTGACTTTTTTTTAGCAATTCCAACTCGGATTGGGATTCCGAGATTCATACCCTTTTTCTAATCCCGAGAATAAAATTCATAAAATCACGGAGTTTCAATTTTGTATCTATTAACGTCAAGGCGGTGCTGTACGTACGCTCACGTGTCGATAGGTCGTTATCGGTACGTGTAAGGACGGCTATACGCGCGCTTTGTTTTCTAGAACTAATCAAGCGATGTTAATTAAGTGAAAAATTGCGCGGAGCAATAAGAAGTGGGGTGGGGGGCAAAGAGAAAGCGCGCGGCCGATCAGATGAGTCGCGCATTTCGTCATACCTTAATTAAACTCGCGTCAAGCAACTCCTCATCTGGAGAGACATTTTATTACGAGAGAAACGTTCTATTACGAGTTCGTGGACGGTCTGTGTTAGCCAAGTGAGTACACCCCTCTGCCCATAGGTTTCAGTCTCTTTATACAACTTGATGTAAACTAGGCGAACAAAATTAGTTACCTCCATATATAAACGTCTGGAGCGCTCCATTTTCAAGCTGGACTCGTGTAAGTAATATTTTAGCAGGGCTACTTCAACAGAAGAATAGTTCTTAATGAGTGTTTCATACCGTATTTTAATTTTATACCTCTCTCGTCGCATGCGTTCCTGGTTTGCTTAATTTGAATTGCCTGCTCGATTTTTGAGCACATATGCAAGTCTATCAGTTCCAGAAATTTGTAAAAAAAATGTTCGCGGTTTTGTGAATTTGTGTCCAAAAGAAAATTAGGTGCTCATTTGAACTATCTTATGATTTAGTCCCAACGTTTTCTATCTCAATTTTTTTGCATAATGACACCACAACCAATATTATACTGAACCTGTAATCAATAAATATAAATTGTATTTATGGACACGGATATGCAAGTTCAGCACCACGCTCGACCCGTTCGATTACGTCACTCCTATTATTTATTACTGCATAACGATATTCTAAATACAAGAACAACGAGTGTATCTATGTGGATGCTATTAGGCTTTGTCTAACTTCTAGTATCGTAATTCGCCAACCATGATTACACGAGAATATATGGGGGATCCGGTGAAGATATCCTCGTGACTATTCAGGACAAATATTGTAAACCGTTATCAGGGGATACCAACTATACTAGATGAAGGGTTTCAGATCTGAATATTATTTGCCGTTCGGGTTTCCCAACCATCCTAGGTGAATACGATTCAAATTTTTAAATATATATTTATCGCGATAAAGGTACATATATATTATCAGTTGAAGGGTGAAATGCATGTGTCTTGTAAGTATTTTCACTATTTCATAAACAAGGTACAGTTGTCATTAAATGGGGCCTCTCCGCACAGAAGGGAAATAGTGGGATTTATCGAAATAAATGCAGATGAGAATTGATAATTCTAATTATTGGACACGTGATTAGTTGTTAACGCGTCAATATGAAGAAAAGTCTACCGTCTACCGTCCCCGTAAGAAAACTTTCGCTGCGCACGAGACCGATCGCAGAACCATCACACTGAAAATTGATAAGCAAGTTAAAGAGAAAAGTGAACAATAATAACTACAAGAAAATAAAGAATTCTAACAACATCATAATAACAAAGCGACCTTAGGGGTTCATTTCGTGACCAAAAATACGTATTATTTAGCTGCGCAAGCTTTTTAACAAATTAGAATTGAAATAATTAGAATAAATGCTAGTTGAGTGGGTGTCACGTGATGGATGCAAAGGCAGAAGACTGAAGTATATCCTGTAACAGTGGTCCACAACCATTTTTTGCTTCGTGATCCATTTTGAATATTTTCTAACATGCCGTGACCCCTAATTTCCTAAATTTATATTTAGGTGCACACTAACACAAATGTATTTCTGTAACGTTTCGTCCGACCAGAGTCAGACTTCCTCAGACAAGCAGTTTTCATTATTGTAAACTGCTTGTCTGAGGAAGTCTGACTCTGGTCGGACGAAACGTTACAGAAATACATTTGTGTTAGTGTGCAGCTGGACTCTTTAATTGGATAGAATAGTCATGTTTATTCGAGCTACAGTATCCTTGCAGTATACGCATACGGATCCACTAGCATAAAGGCATAGAGAAAAGATAGGAAGTTAGTCTCGCGCAACCCAACTCAAATTTATATTTAGGAATAGCAAAAAATGTATATATAGAATAGTCATATATATATATATGTACAGGCGCGCAGTCAGGATTTTTTCAGGGGGGGGGGGGTTCATAATCTTAAATTCCCATTGTGGTCTGTAACAGTCTTCGCATTACGCGCTCGTTAAAGGGACGTCTTTTCAGCGTATAATGATTATTCTTGTCGCGTGAAATATTCAATCTCTGACAACTACAAAATTCTAAAATGTCTTTATATATTAGTTTAATTGTGTCCAACGTAACTCGCGGTAGCTTCTTCTTATGTCAAAATTAAAACATTAGTTCTCTGAAATGCCACGGCGATCGGTGGACATACAAATATGAGATAAACGGTGTATTTAATTTTAATAGGTATTTTTGGAATCTTGCCAACTCGTTATCGCCGTTAGAAAAATCTCAATAACTGATATAAAATCCCGAGAAGTACAATTTTATTTCGTACAATGAAAATGCATATGAAGTATATCGTTAAATCAAAAATACATATTCATCGCCGCGATTACGCCACTTGTTAAAAGAGCCGACGTTTACAACGAAAAATGATTTTTCTGTTGTGCAAAGTAATCAATTCGTGACCGATAAGGGCATATTTAAAATGTCTTGCTTTATTAATTTAATTGTCATCAATTTAACCAGCGTTTGCGTCTACAAAACAAAACATTTTTTTACAATTCACAATTTTAAAATACCTCGGCCATTTGCCGACATAAAAATTTGTGGTAACTGCCCGTCGCCTATCATATATTGTTTTGATCCGTATTTTTTCTATTTTGCAAATTCGACAAATTTGAGATGTGCTTGTAACATTGACTCCGTTCAATCGCAATGCTGACACTCCGATTATTTTTAAAGATTAAATCTCCTGAAAAATCCGTTAATCTGCTATAAATTCTCATGGAGTAAAATTTATTTCAGTACAATAAAAATTGATGGATATACTTCGGATTAATTATCTTAACCGGGAAAAAATCGTGTTTTCAACCTTGTTTAATGATAACAAGAAAATTTTCTACGACACTTTCAAAGTAATGGATAAAAGGCAAATCCCACCCACAATTACCCGTGTTTTGATTTTAGTGAAGGTATGTCCCTAAGCGGCGACCAAACATAATGTGCGCCGTAGGCACACGAAATTTTGCGATTTTGCGACTAGAAAAGCGTTTTTAGACTGTCGCGGGACTCAACAAAACTTATATTGTTTACGATTTTATTTTCAGTATTTTATAATGCCGCTTTTCAATCAAATTTAGATCGCGGTTTTACTCCTTCTTTTGTCCTTAGAACCTCGCCACCGATGAACGTATAATATAACTCACGAATTCACAATTCCGTGCAAAGTACAAAAATAAAAAAATTATCATGTTTATCGTGGTACAAATTTATGATTTAGAAAGAATAAAAACCGACGTAAGGGCGTTTACGGCCTAAATAACACGCTGATGAAAACATGGGCGATTTTAGCAGAAGGCAATTGCACGCTTTTTCAGTTTTCACATTTCCGTGCGGGTACAAAAATAAAATAATTATCATTGTTCCCGCGGCACAAATTTGTGATTTAAAGAGAATAAACACCAATGTAAAGGGCGTTCACGGCATAAATAACATGCGGCGTTCAAAAAGGGGGGGGGGGGGGGGGGGTCGACCCTGACCTACCACCCCGCCCCCCCCCCCCCCCCCCCTGGCTGCGCCACTGTATATATATATATTCGCTGTCAACACTTTATATTCGATGTGAAGGTTAGGCTTGCATATGCGCAGATATGTAATCGAATGTCTGTTTCGATATAGGCCTATGTGCATAGAATTCAGACATAGCACACCATAATCGTGATAAAGACGTCTCGTGGTAAAAATCACGTGCCGCTGAATGATTTTCATGCTCGCTAAATTGCTCTTGCGATTCGCCGGAAACGTCGTTTACAATTACATGCAAAGAGTTGGAAAAGGGTTTCGTACAAGAGTGGCTTTTGTTCTTTGACTTTACGAAAGCAATGTATCATAAGTGTCTTTAATTGCTCGTTGAGCCTAATCGGGAGCCCAACATAGTAGGAACTCCATCTGTACAAACTTCTTCAAATTGCAGTATTGTTTGAAATAGTCCAACATTGTAGGTCGTAGGAGCTCCATCTGTACCAACTTCTTCAAACTGTAGTGATGTTTAGAAGAGAAATTCGTTTCGCTGCATTTGCATCTCCGAGAATTATGTTGGCAGTCTCCAGCAAATACGGTTTGAAGTGTTTCTTCAATTGTATGTGGTTTTATTGGTTAGCGATTTCCGGTGCGACAACATATGGTGCTCCAATTGCCCTGATTAAAACTAACAACACTGATTTTATTAAAACTAACAAATACCGCGCGTAACTGAAAAAAAATAAGTAAAATATTGATATTAGTTAAAAAAGAGAGCGCATTCAACAGGCGGGATGTCATGTTGGTAAGAGCTCTCGACCGGACACCTTGAGGCATTGACGATTGGTAAAATTTTTTAGCAATGGTCTTTGGAGGCGTCCCGCTTTGACGTCACAAAAATATGGTAACGCTAACTATAGGAAAACTCTATAGGTTCACATCCAACTCACAGACACGGGAAAAGCTGGAAGCACGCACGTGAACTCTTATCGGATACGGCCTCCATCATTATTTATGTCAGAGTTTCTCAACCTTTCACGACTACGTAATCTTTCTGATAATTTTTTTTAAATTGGTGAGTCTTTCTAAATAAAATCAATCTAATCTGTTATGTACAACGTATGTATAAAAATATTTTTTTTACAAGTCTGCATACAGGACTCGCCTTAAATCTGGATGCTATAAGATGTGCTCTATCCAACACTTATCGCATAGATTGCAAACAATGTCAAGCGTTAAATTGGACCTGATCGAATGATAATAAGTTGTCCCTGATTGGGTGCTAGGTCACAATAAACGTCGGTTGAGAACCATTGATTCAAGTCCCCATGCCGACGTGGACTAAACGGAAACGGAAAACAGGGCATGTTTCGTCCTCTGATTAAGCCGTCTTGTCGGCTTTTCTCTCACAGGGTGAATATAAAAAATCTTATGCTATACCGTAACACGACACTGTTTGATCGGATCTTATCCAAATATTAAAGTGTTGGTAATCGTAGACTGAACCAGTATGTTCCCCAGCTTTTCTTTTTAGGGGGGGGGGGGGGGTTTCAAAATTTAGGGGGTGGTAAATAATTTGCTGTTAGAGATAAAACTAGGCTGTTTGTATTCTTAAAAAAATGGTAAGTATTTAAGAAACGATGTAGGCTACATGGGGCCCCCCAAGTTGATTGACGCGAGCCAAAATCCACAGCAGAATGTAATTGTAGGGCCAAAAAAGGGGAGCGAGAAAAAGTGCGGGACGACACGACTGGGGTTCAGGGCGCGCTCAAGCGTCCTGAGAAAATTTTGAGAAATAGGCACCAAAATAGGCTCTAAGCTTGATTTTAGATACACCTAGCATCGCAGTTTGTTATGTGATGAAATCAATAATTATAATATTTAGCTGATAGAATTCCCGGGGAATAGATAACAAGCACGGCTTTCAACCGTAAATATATACTAGGCCTACTACGTTTCAACAAGTAATTTGCAACTGATAGTGACTAATGAAGTTACTTGCTCATCTGGCATTGTATGAATGGCTACTTATGGCTTGTTTTGTTACACATTTCTAATTTTTTTGAACATGTTTGTTTGACTTTTGTATGAATTAAATTTTGGAATAAGCTCGTCAACTGATCATAATGTCGCATAATGTTGTATTCCTTCAGAACTGAAATATTTTGTTGGTTAGAAGACAAATCGCTGAAGTTTGATTCTTTTCAATAAAGAAATAAAAACGCTGTCATTCATCTAAAAAACGTCTGTTTTCAGTGCCTAGTTTTCGTTTTGTGACATCTTTAAGCTTTCTTAATATACGGCTGATATCTAAAATACTGCAGTGTGTAATCCTAATACCCATACGTATACATAAGATACCGAAATATTTCAATTGTTACGAAATAAACGTGCTTAAACTGTGATAATGATGTAACAATAGACGGTATCTAAAACTCAAAAGGTACCACATGAAGGGTTAAACTATTTCACTCAAGTTCGGCGGGCCATTTTAAATCGTCACGCGGGCCGTAATTGGCCCGCAGACTGCGGTTTAGAACCCCTCAGTGTGGAATCGCACCTCAAAATTAGTGGGGGTGTTTGAAATTTTAGGGGGGGTGTTCACCCCCTATAGGGGGTGTAGGGAAATCACTGGACTGAACAAACTATCGCACCAAGATGTCGTACAACATATATTATATATATATAAATATACAGTGGCGGGATCCAGCCGGTTCGCATCGGTTCTATAGAACCGTCTCACGGAATTTTATTAGATAAGCAAACCGGTTAGCATTACTAATTAATGTCAATGTTCTGTTTGTAACGGAACCGGCTGAAAAATAAGACTTTTGTGATAGAACCGGCTGATAAAAAATTTAAATCCCACGACTGTATAAATATATCAGAAACCCAAAATTTATGCAACATTGATATTTTGACTCAGAAAATAGAGGCATTCGTCGGATACTTTTATCTGCGTATTTTAGGACCCTTTTTTATCGTGCGCTCAATGTATGGATCAGGGAGTGCTTTATGCATCACTGCCTACGCCTACATTCAAAACCAGTGCCGGTATTGTTTTTAAAACTATTGTGTCTTATGGCCCGATGTGCCTTATGTATGAATAAAACTTCAATCTGATGAGCGATTTATTGACAGTGTACCCTGTGGTACGTAAAATACAGAAGCCTAATGATCAGAATTGCTGAGACAATCATTGAAGGACATTTTATTATACTGACAAATTTATTGTTTTCTTCCTAATTAAAATTGTGGGTGCTCCCTAAGTATGCGAACCAAGATGGCGGACATCGGAACGTAACATGGGTAACAGGTTTGGGTTAGGCGATAATTTTTTACCAATTTTCCTTATTTTAGTCCTATTATCAGTTCGAAGACTAGCCAAGAGCCTCCCGTAGTATTTATACCTAAAATTATGGCCTAACCCTAACCTAGTACTCATATTACATTCCGATGTCCGCCATCTTGGTTCGCATACTTCGGGAGCCCCAAATTGTGGATATTTCACTGATAATCATACTCAAATTTTAATCAGGCTTTGATAGAGCTGCATGGGAGCATCTCTGAATCACGACAAATAATAACCGGAGAGCTACGCTTAAACAGCGCCACCTAGGATGGCGTCATAGCACACACAAAAAAACGAATCCCATGTAGCTCACTGGAATATTTGAAATAAATGAATGTAATAGCCTTCTAGCGAAAAATTGAATCTTTAAGCACTGAAAATTTCAAAGAGATTGGTCCAGAAATCGAAGAGAAAACTTTTTAAAAAGAACCAGAAGAAGAAGAGTACCAGCATAAAATGCAAAACGATCGTTATGTCCACTGACGTGTCCAATAATAACAATATAGTTCAAGCGAAGATATTCCATTTATGCCATTGCGAGGATCCTGGGAAATGCATGGGTAATTGGTCGAAGGCACGAGACGCATCGCACTAACCCTTACTGGCGCGCTTGCAATCTGCACCTTTCTTACACTGTACTGGTTCGAGTTCCATATTTTCCGATCCCATATTTTTGTATGGCTTGGCACCAAAGTCACAACTTGCGTTGCAACTCTGTCTCCCTTCACTATCATATTTATTTATCTGAAACGAATAACTATTATTTTCGTATCCGACATGTACTGGTAACCGAACAAAAACCTGGAGTCGCCATATAATTAAGCTTACTCACTTTCCTCAAACTGGAATAAATATGAGAAATCCAATATAATACGTTATTAAGCTGATAAATAACGTGAATTCATTTGCAAAATATACACAGATATTTAAAATCATAGACAATCTTGGCCTGAAGTTATGATTTTAGTGCAATTCATTCGGTTTTACAACAACCCACTTATGCTCCTTTCACAGTTCACATATTACGTGACAAAGCGTCATAGGAAATCCCCAGGTTTCGCTTACTGGTTAACCTTTAGCGATGCACCAAGATGTAATCACTAAACGAAATAATCGCGGATGGTGATGAACGGGTCAAGCTATAAGAAACCAGCAACTAACAGGTACAGTAGGTTATATTTGGATAGACTAAATTGCTCGTGACCTGCCGTTTGCAATCTGTTCGATTCTGCGCTTAGTTTGATTATAATAGGGCTATTATCAGTATTATTGATGGAGTTGTCTATTTGATCTATGGTAAACGTTAATACTGTAAAAGCCCTACATGCTCACCGATACATGTGTCAGTGTGCTGGTGTGTGAGCGAACTGTTTTACAGTTCCGGTTTCTGGGTTTAGTGCAGAAGTCAGAAACTAGCAGACTGGACTATGCAGCTTGTAACTAGGGCCTATACTGCTATAAGTATAAATTGGGGAAACTGGCAAAACCTTTATAAAGGTTTAATAAGGTACATGCGCCAGACAAAACAAGATTTTTTCCAAAATTTATATTACTCAAGATTATGTAAGTACAGAAGTTCCAAACAATAGTATTAGTGGTATAGATTAGTTATCGTATACTGGTATATAAGCTGTGCCAAATTGATCTTGACCTTCCGGGTCTCATGTCAGCATGTAGTTTCGTACCTAACGTACTTCTAATCAATTTATTGGCATGTCAATCCTAACCCCCACGTGACTACGCCATCATAAAATTACGTCACAACAACGTCACAATCACATCGTAGAGCTTGCCAAATACTTGTTCAATCACCGGGAATGGCATCGGCGCGGGCGATAAAGAACTGACTAACGTCAGCGATCTCTCTTCTATCTGCCTATTGGGATCATTGCGACGAGAAAAGGAGAGAAATAGCTGTTCGCATTGTGGTTCTCAACTGCGCGTCTTGGATGACAGTTCGTATAGTTCAAAGGATCTAGTACGATCTATCCCAACCTTCCTGCCTTCTGGTAGACTACCTACTGACAGACTGAACAGACACATTTTTCCAAGAACTTACATTCGACATTTTGATGGAACTGATTCTAAGAATAGCTCCCACATTCAGACATTAAAATACATCATTTATAACAGTGAGTGCAAACCCATTTTTACGAAATAATCTGAGCCTCTATAGACTTGCACTATGTAATAAACTGAAAGGAAACGCAATCAAAAAACGTCACCATTGGATTATTTGTCTGTCTGACTGTAACAGACAATTTATGTAATTAATATTTTTATGTATCTCTGCTAACGTTTTACAGTTTTATATAATAATAAGATCATCTTGCATGTCATCACATGTTTGTATTGGGTGGTAACCAACTCAGATGACCGTGAATGGTCGTATCGTTACCACCCAGTTATCTACCAAAAACTTTTGATTCACTTATTTAAAATAAAAATAAAATAAGTTATTTTAATATTATTTATATATTATTTGTTTTCTGGTTGACGAAATAACAAATTGACTCTCTATGTAGCCTATATGCAAAATTCCTGAAGCAATCTTCTTTTGCTTTAATAATATGAATAATATATACTTTTATATTAATAAGTTTCATTTTTGCAGATATAGTTTTAAGAGTGTGATAAATAATTCCAATCATTATTGACAAAAAATAAATTTATTCAAAAAGGTTTTGACTTGTTCAGGAATGTGGAACAATATTATTGAGCACTGATGGCACAAGCCCAGACTGAGGGTAAAAACATTGAAAAAACTCAAGCATCTGAAGAATTTAGTCTGTTACAAGCCAGTAAGTTTCGATGCTTTCGCAAATTTTTTTAAATTGAAATTGGATTGTTTTTTAAAAATGGTACTCAGAGATGTGAAACAGAGAGCTGTATCACGATGAAGGTAATCGAGTCATTTTGTATAAGTTTATTGTATATCCTATGTATGAAGAACAGATGTTTTTCTCAATTGTGGACTCGAACCTACAACCTTTTTTATGTGAGAAGATCACAACCTAACCACTGCGACATGAAGATCACAACTGTTCCAAGGTTGAATCATACAACACATTCTTAACATTTTTTTCAAGTTGAGCAGTATTCAAACTTGAGCAGATTTGCCATTACCCTTAGTTTGTCATATCATGAATAGCTCTCCCATTTCAAATGGTTGCAAATACAACGCATTACTTCATTTCTGAGGGATGCTCCGATGAATAGTTGTACATAGTACAGCTAGCTTCTGCTCTGTTGTTGCTTATATACTCATTTTGCAGTTGCTTGCATTAGGTCAGTTGTACCACGTACAAAACCTCCTTTTGGTTTGGGGAACAACAGCACAAGAAACGCACTATGGGATTATTTTATGTGGCACTATATCCATTTTCAGACTTTCGTGTAAAGATTCAACATATTAATTGCGTGCAAAATCGCAGAAGAATTTTTGTCATCTATCGTCAGAGCTGAAAGGCTTCAATCATCTCCACCATTGAATTATCGTAAAACTTGGATGAATACACTTTGTGGTCAAAGCTAGCCGCTATCACGAACTGCCTAACCTAGTCTTCAAATTATTAATTAGCCTTTAAACTTAAGATTATGGCGATCAACCAACAAATACATCAGGTAGCAATAGTAACGCCCGTATGATGTACAAAGGCACTATCGGGATATCTCGAAACGCACATACCACTCTTGCCAAACGCTCCCTTCGTTGTCGATTTCTCAATGGAGATGCATTGTGGACTTCAAGCGTTCCCAGGGTCGGGACTCGTTTTAGGTGGGCAGGAGCGGGCGAGGGCGATTTCTAAACAGAAGGACTGCTAACTCTAGATACCTGTTCAGCGAATGCCGAATGCATTCGGTATGGAATATTTTAGCTGCAGGTTGAGTAGGCTACCGCTGCATTAGGTTCTACTATAGGTTATTTTGAAGTTCCATTTGCTTGTATATGATCCTGATCTTCAATTTTTTAGAACTTGTATTTCACCACAAACACATGTGGTTTAAACAGTTAATCAGTTAATATGTTTAACAAAATTTCTTCACATAACCAATCTAGACCAAATTTAAACTATTTTTTCGCAAATAGAATAGCCTATGGTATATTTCAATCTTCTTCTGCAGACCAATCTATACTAATTGAAGAAGACACAAACACCTTTTAATTAAAAATGTGTTAAAATTCACTAATTCCCTACTACAAAGCCATTATATTTAGTTGTGAACTTGGTATTATTTCCTGTAATGATTTTATTTTTTACAACAGGCAATCCGGACAGCATTTTGCAAAATAGCTCATGGCCGAAACAAGATGATATTCCATCATATACAAGTACTGTCGATTCAACAAGGTATAAATCTCATTATGTAGAATGAATAGATCTAGACGAGCTGCTAAATCAAGGCTGGCTCGCGTATGGATGTATAATAGTGAATTTTCTTCTATAGGAACTTTACAATGGCAGAATTAATTTAAAACATCACAACCCAAGCAAACTTCAAAAATCTTCTTGCTCTCAATAATGCCTCGCCCTCGTGATATCATTGGAGCTGCCTGCGTTATTAGGCATTAAAAACCCTATTCCATCCATACATTTAATATGACGTATTTGTGTTTTAATGTTATTTCAAATTGAACTCAGATTAACTCATTAAACATTTCCCAGCAATAGCTTCAAGGTATTAGAGATATTGCTGTTGATTAAAAAACAGGAAGTTTCTGTTTGTGGCTCAACTTGCGAAATGTGTTTTATATTTGGTGTAATCATTGGACTGTACAGGATGATCTCTCAAAATTACTAGAATATTTTTCTGTATTGTGAAATTTTTTCTTAAACTTCCATAATCTGTGGCCCCCTTTTCAACACTTGTTGTCCCTGCTCTTCTATAAAATAAGAGAATACGTGCTTTATTGTGAAAAGGTTTAACAAATCTCAGTCAATTTACCTTAATTTTTAATGTAATCATTGTAAATGATACATGCTTTTGCCAAAGGCTGAGTTTTAATAACTCTGGAAGAAGCAATGATTGGATGACTTATGCTGATTTCCATAAGGATTGAAATATTTTTATTTGGTCATGTCGCTTTATCATAAACATGTCATGCAATAAACAAACAAAAAATTCGGATTTAAAAAAAAACGACGCTTGAATATATTTCCTCCATTCCATTGTCGAAAACTATAAAATCATTTCTATCTTAACTTAGCCCATATTTTAAAATTCAAACTCAACACTTGGCATTAAATTAGGCATCATAGCAATCCAATTTACATATAGCTTCAATAGACTGTCGATTGTCGTCATTTGATGAATATGTGCTTCGTACATTGGCCTCAGGGAATTTTATTCAGGACAATATCCATCCTAATTATTGTAGGATTATTTAATAATACAGTTTGAGACTGATGATGCAAAAAATAGAATATATTTTCAGACACAAATTTTAAATTTGATTTATATGGGGCCATAAGAATTGATGAAATAAGTATGAAGAATGAAATAAATAAGCATACAAGCTCACCAGAGGTCGCATTTGAGCTTGTTCCTTCTTTTTATCTAAATTTTTCAGACATTTCTACTAAAGACAACCGATATATGGTGTTTATTTAATATCAGTTGAATTGAAATTTGAAATTGATATGTACATTAAAATATTATAAAAATTTCGTAACTACTGTATGTTAGATACACTGGGAATAATATTTTTAAAAAGCAATGATGTTTTCTGTTTTCTTCGTATAGCCCAAGGCCTACGATTACATATTAGGTTTAAAATGCAATGTTTGTAATCTATAAAATTTGCATATAACAACAAAAGGGGAAGAAACACTCAAGACTGCGTGTGTATTCCCAAATGTGTTTAAATAGAAAATAAATCAATATAAATAAAATAAACCTCTCCACATATTATGAAGTGGAATTACCTCGAAAGGGTATATCATATAAATTTCAAACATATCAAATTTTTACACCTGCCATCTCGTAATTGAATATTTTGTAGGATAATGATATCATTCGGTTTATGGGACAGAAGCAATTGGATAAATTGCTGCTAAATTTAGGACAGAATATATTCGTGGAGGGATTACAACAATATTTGTGTTGTATTGGTACTAAAAAAACTGTTGATGATCTCAATACCAGAAAATAACACTATATGTTACTATTATTATAGAATTTACAAAATAAGTGAAAGCAAATGAATTCATTGTACAAAAAAGCAAATCCTAAAGATAGTTTTATTTCCTCAGAATGGCAATAATGATTAGATTGTAAAGTAATTAAGTTAAGTGATTAATGGTCTTTTATTACTTTTTCTACAGTTAGGTTCATGTTTAACGGCTCGGTTTATTAAAAATTCCCATTTTACATTTCAGTTATCATAGTAGAATATAGATATCTCGTGGAATATTCAATGCATTACATACAAAAATTATTGTAATTAGATATCAGTACTAGGCCTGCTTGCACTAGGCTTTCCTCAGAGCGAAAGGCATGTTTGAGTATCGTATACCAAATGCCTTCCAGCTGCCTGGTTTGAATTGTTCATTGTAAATTTTTCAAATTCATACCTAATGCTTGAAATATTTTAATATGACTTGGATTTTGTTGTCATGAAGTTAAAGTAAACAGTTCTTACATTGCAATTTAGTATTATTTTAATTCTAGCTTCTAAATTTGTTTTTTATTCCCACATTAGTTTCAATTACCATGGTGGTTTTCTGATGAAATAATCCATATTTTGCTGAATGGGCAATTTTTTCAAAAAACTGGCTGTAATAGATTAACAAAATTAATGAATCCCCACTTTCATTTATTATATATCTCCGATTTTCTGCTGTGATAAATATTTAGTACTATAATCTCACGTTTATAGTGATATTTTAATGAAACAAAACATTGCAATTATGTATGCAAAAGAAGTGCTGATGTTATCGCAAAGGTTTATGATACATGAAAATTTGATCATTTTAAGGTAAATTGAACTAGCGATTAACACACACTAGGCTAAATTTGAACCTTTTGTTACTGCTGGGCTTCGACATATCTTGAAATATATTATGTTTACCAACAATAGATTCTAGGTAATGTTTTTGTCGTCATCACATTTTTGCGTTATCGAATTTGCATATTCTGTGAATTATATAAGACTTCAAATTTTATGTTTTTCTGATTAGGCCATCCTTCGCTGACGAAAATTGGGATAGTAACCAAATTTTCGCATCGCATCACGCTCTTCTGACTGCATATGCAAGAGTTACAAAGAAACTATCAGACGCAGAAGAACGAAATAAACAATTTCAAATGCAGAATAGTGTTCGATCACAAGATAATGTAAGTTTTTTGTCCTTTTTTTTCATTATGGTATATGTATTACTTAAAAAATATTGTAGAATGGATTTAGATATCAAATCCTAATAACTGTGCCAAGTAATACAAATCGTATTCAGCATTTTATGCTCAAAACTACGGTATAGATATGTAAAAGTCTTCTTGGATGTAAAATTTTATGCTGTGAATTTTTGTGATCAAAATGAATCTGGTTAATAAGTGGTTGTTTCAGTTATATGATTTTTTACATTGGATCACTAACTACATCTTTACTAATGCCCATGGGTGCATTTAAATGGGATGTGATGAATCTCAGTCTGTCACAAATTCGATTTAAAATAGATTTGTGTGGTTGCTAAATTAATTCTAGATCGTTAACTAGTAGGCTATGTACAATGGAAAATATGATCATCAAATATACGTCATAGTTCTTCATTTGGAACTGGAAATTACTGCCACTCGGAAAGATATTTATAAATTAAACTTCTCTTTGTGTGAACATTTTAGAGAAACATTGTGGCATGGTTGTACCGCTAATCCGTAAACTTTTTATACTGGAAACCGTTCTTGACCCAATGACACACCAATATTTTCATAAAGTATGGCACTTAGGATGATGATTTTTCTTCTAGCTAATTTCAAATAAAAATTTCCGAAATTTTTCATAAAGTACATGATTGATGCTTTTATACTCTTTTTTTGCTTCTGAATCCTCCTTGTCTTATTTTGTATATTGATTGCTGAGAAGCTGAATTTGCATAAACTTTGTTCTCCATTTTACTCATAGTTTCGAAGTGCCAACATGTCTGGAGCTTCTCAAACAAACTCCCAAACAAATTTTGCAATGCCACCGGACATTGAGGCAAGTGTCAACCAAGCATGGGAAGCATATAATGAAAAATGTAAAGAATGCCAACAACTTCGAGAGGAATTAGAAAGAGTTAAACAACAAAGTGAAAATTCAGATGTAATTATTTTTATTACTAATTATTCATATTGTATTACATGTATTTTATCTTGCCAAATCAATATGTGGAATCACAATTTATTTAGGTCAGAGGCATTCTTAGTATCAAATTTTTTTTATCAAATAAGCAGTTTAAACACAAAAATTATCTCATTTTGTGATAAAAACAATTATAAACAGATGACCTTGTTGACACTTCATGCTTCTGTCTCCATAAACACATATTGATCTGTCTGTATATTTTTGTTTAAACTGAATATTTTTAATATATGCAAGGAAAGTATATTATTGATATTAATTAGAAATGGTGATTTTTTTATATCATGAAATAATTTGGTCGATTCTTTTTCACGAACAACAATGGGAACCAAAATATTTTTGCTAAGTTGTAGATATATGTAACTCAATACACAAGACATCTTGAACATTATAAAATTTGCAACGTTTCATTTCATTAGTTGTATTTATTGATCAGTGAAGATTTTAAATGAATCTATATTATGTGTAAATATGGTTACCAAATTTTTTAAAAAGGAATACCGGCAATTCGTGAAATTTTAGAATGAAATGTTAAGGCGTAAGAGGGTTTAAACAAATACAATATGTTGTTATGAAAACTACCAAGCTTTTAGTACACACACTATATTTCTAATTGACCGAAACTCAACAAGAATATGTGGCAATATTTCATTGCCATTTCCTGATTTGATTTTATCTCTCCATGATCGGCTGTAAATTTGTCGTGCTGTTCCAGGAACTTGTGATTGTGGACTAGCGATATCATTTCAAATGGTTGATATTTTTACTTACAGTTTTTTTTATCAATTTTTTTGATTTTTATCTGAAAATATGTCCAATTTTGTCGTAAATTTATCATAGTAGTAATTTTTGTCATGTTCACAGCATTTCAGCCGAATACATAATCTTCAAGAAGATGTACTTCGAGAGAAAGCAAAACAAGATGATGTTGTTCGAAAACTTGAAAAAACTAAAATGGAAGCAGGTAATCTTGAGAAAAAGGAAATCATGGCCCGTGAGGAACTTGAAAAAGAAAGGGTAAGTTAAGAAAATTCCTGAAATCACCACACATGTAAAAAAAAATAGCTAGCAAATATTTTATCATTTACTTCTGTAAGATAGGTTGCTGACTTTTACCCTTTATTTTCTTAATTGCAACAGGAATATCAAAGATCTTTGATTCAAAGTGCAGAGAAGAAACACAAAGAAATGGAGCAAAGAATAGCAGAGTTAGAAGCTAATGTAAAAAATGAAGTAAGAATATTGTTAACTGTGTATACTTTCATTCAGTGATATCTGTTATAGGAATATCATGAATAGCAGATTTGAGTAACAAATGATTGAGCAGCTTCAAAACATGATTTTTTCATACAACGTATTTATACAAGGATCTACATGAGTCACTTATATGCAATTAGGTACTTTATTTTGCAAGAACTGGAATCTTTCTGGTTAGGCATTGCCTTACCTACCCAATTTATTACACCCTGAGTGAGGTGGTGGGTTAGGATTTGAACTCGAGACTTCAACCTGTGATGTCATGATAGTTTAGTTTAACGCTTTAAGCCACTAGGCCACCATATTCGATGAATGTTAAGAGAATTTGTCACATTGTGATTGATGGTTTGATATATAAATTTTTTTTATCACAATTTTTGCATTTTTTTTTATTCCTAACTGTAATATTCTTCTATAATTTAGAAAAACCTGACAACTGATTTAAGAAAACGAGAAAAGGATTATCAAACAGCAATCGAAGATGAATTCAACAATAAAAAAGAAGCATTTGTTTTGAAAATTCGTGAATTGGAAGAAGATAATATAAGATTGAAAGTAAATATTCCAACTTATCACACACAGGTTGATGTGTCCCATAATTTCCTCAAATCCTCTTTTTTATATGCTTTTTAATATCCCATGAATCATGTATATACTTAAATCTGTTAATTTCCTAAATAGAATTCTCTCAATTATTCGGCCCACAGAATTCGTACAGGATCTTTTTATGGCTGTTTTAAACAGTTAAACAGTTACTGTTTATCATATTACTATATGTAATAAACCAAGCAGTTAGTAGGTAATTCAAGTTATCTGAGTATTTATATGGATGGATAGACTATTCGAGTTTTTTTGCTGGGTTAGACACCCTAAGTTTGAGTTCAGTTGGCATAGTGGTCAACACAGGAATTATTATGGTTTAAAAAAAATTGCGTAGGCTATGTTGAACTGGAACTGGTATTATCCATTAATATTTGGAACATCATAAATTTGAGTCACAGCAGATTGATGTAAAATATTAGGTATTAAAAAAAATTACAGAATAATGATTTAATATTCAAATTATTATCCAACGATATTATCTGAAAACAACTCGTCAGCATTCAATTTAACTAAACACTGATAAGATGTTTTATACAATTTTTTGAAATTGTCTATTTTGCAAATTCCAATATGCAATATCCCACTTTGGTATATAACCCTATTGACTATATTATATATCTTAATAGGAGGAAGTGTCTCTATTGGTATCAATGCGTTCACCATCGTACAATGGACCAACAACATCAAACATGAACGTTAATGGACCTGTTGGTACAATGTTAAATAGTGGTTCATCGGATCAGGACAAGTTAGTATTATTCAAATACTCACTGAAATGCAATTTTTACGTTTCTTTTATTTTATGTTTATACAAAGTGTATTTTCAGTACAATGAAACAACGAGCTACTAACTATGAACATTTCCTAAGCCTCTGCACAAGCAGTCGCGTGGCCGACAACTTCAAAAACATTAACATAAGTTTGCATTTTGGAAATACTTGCTCTGCTCCATTAATTTTCATTCTCTCTCCAGTCACTGATAATGACACAACATATTAATATTATTATTTCCAGTTTTACATCCGAATATCTCAGGCACTGTATATGAAACTTTAAATCTGATTTGAATCCAAAACATTGAAGTTGAGTTAACTTATAAAGCAGTCACTTATAATGGTTCAACATTTGCTTTAGTCATCGCATGCCGTTATGAGCTGGTGGGCATGGGGTTTGATCTCGAACATGCAATATCTATCTAATACCTAGTGAGATTGAATATGCTAACCACATGGCCATTACACCCACTTTTATTATTAGTTATATTTAGTCGTTTTCGTAATACAGTGTAATACTTATTATTTGCAGTGGGTACTCATTTGGATATACTCTTGGAGTGTGGGAATTTGTTTTTTGTATTAGTTTGCTCGGAGACCATTGGAAACTAATTATAATTCTATATGTAAATATGAATAGTATATAATCGAAATTTGGTTATATGTTTTAATACAGTGGTTCTCAACCTGTGGTACGCGGAAGATGTTCAAGTGGTACGCAAGCAGCTTCGAGTTGTTGCAACCATTCCCTTCTGAGTTGGCTAAAATATGCTGATAATGCTTTTTATCTTCCATACTTTATGTATTCGCAGAGTGAATGTTTCCCCGGTGATCAATTTCCGTGTTTAATAATCATAACCAATCAGCAAAAATCAACAATAACTTAACAATAGTAATTTCTGCAGCCGTTCAGACACTTCTGTTCTGACAGATATTCAAGTATGGTTGTAAAGTATGCTTTGCCTCGTTTTTGAAGTTTTGCTGTTATTTGTCAGTTTTCATTTTGAAATAGTAACGTAGAAGAATTTTTCTGTGGTCGAGGGTCGAAGGAACATCCTATGAACCAGTCGAGTCCTCAGAGATCGCCCTCGTCTGCTATTATCCACTAACAAATTGAGATGGGTATGTTTTCGTCCGTCTTGCGATTGAGGTTACAAAAGATCTAGTGCCACATCTTAAAATACTCCCATATCGCGTGTCTTGTGCCATTATTCCCCATTTACAAAAGGGTCTTTTTCGGTGGTACGCGGCCAGAGTAAAAAACAGTAAAGTGGTTGAGAACCACTGTTTTAATACAATTGGACCATCTATGGATTTCATGATCTGTATTTAAATTAGCATTTGTTTTTCACGTGTTCCATTCATTTTTGTTCAGATTTAGGATTCACGGTTAAAAGTTGGATATCTTTTTCATCCTTGTTTAACCTGTGTTCGCCGAATATGAAATTACAGATAAAAACTAATTAGTTACCTAATGAGCTTTGGCTTAGTGGGTAAAGCATTAGACTTAACTGTGTTGGCGTCACAGGTTACACTCAGCTCCAAATCCCATGGTCACCACTTCATGCAGGGTGTAAGATATTAAGTAGGCAATGCCGAACCGGTAATAAAACTGGTTCTTGAAAAAATAGTAAATTCTTACATATTATCAGTGCATGCTTTCACAGGGCCTTGTTCAGAGTGGAACCTGTAAATATGAATTATCTTAAATAGAGCTATTTTGCAATACAATTTCAATCAAAAAACCTGAATTTGATTTTACAAATCCATCTCATACTATTCTTTCTGTTTCACGATTTTAAAATGCTTTGCGAAGTCTTGAAAATCAATTTTTCAACTGGTTCAGTTGCTTAGAGACTCTTGTTAAACTAAAATCAATGACCTTGAAAATGAAGTTCATATTTCTCAGATGTTGTTGAACTTGAGTGTAAGTGAATTCAAATTTCAATCAACAGCCTCTGAAGCTAAATTTCATTATTTTTCAGCAATAACCAAGATGCATTGATTCTTTGTTCCGATGTTCAAATAATACGAGGAGAGTTGAATGATTTAAAAACAAGAGCTGCTGAGCAGTCTCATATATTATCAGCTTTATTCCAGAATCCTAAATTTTTGAAAATACTTCGCTCTGTTGATCATATGCAAAATAATCCAGGTAAAACTAATTCGTGTATTTTGTATTTTTATCTCAGATGTATCGTAGCCAATTACGTTACCTTTTTAAATTCTCCATTAATTAAAACTCATGACTTTCAATTTTGAATATTCATGATTTTTATATATTAAACTAATAAACTCAATGCCTCATAGTCCTCCTATATCCATTCAAATTATTTGCTCTATGGAATGTCAATATTGATATTCTAGTTTGCAAATGCCGTAGAGCAGAAAATAAAAAGTGATTTCTGATATATGCAAATGCATATTTAATAAAGAATATCTGTTAGCGGTTCTAGGCTGTTTTGAGTTTGTTATCAATTCTTTTTCTTTTGTTAAGTGTGTAGCAAGCAAACTAGGTATATTTCTGCCTCATCCTTGGATATGAATATTATTGAAGACTTTTGGATGTCATTTTTTGTCTTGTAGTCAATGCCAATATGAGAGTGATTAAACTTACCAAACTCGATTATTTAAGTTAATACAGTAATTTTATGGCCTGTTGGTGAACTTGCCCTAAATGAAGTTTTCTAAATTTCACATGTTTTTAGGGCATTCAATTCTGAACTGTGGCAAAACATGTTGATAATGTATTTCCATGGAAACCATGCTCTTATTGAAATGAATAATTATATGAATCTCAATCTGAAATGCTTCATCTTCTTATTCTAAGAAACATCGTTTATAAAGTGTTGCAAAATATCTTTGCTTATCCCATTCTTCAGTTTTTGAAGTCAAACTACATCTTTTGCCTCTCACTTTCATTTCTGGTGATATTTTCGATTTTATACTCCTAATGTCCTAAAGTTCATAACATAGCACAAAAGTACTTAATTGTTATCAATATGCATACATGAGTTGTCAGTAGTGACTCGGCGGTGTGGCACATTGTGCTTAGCGTTACAAATTCGGTCACCACCACACCTCTGATTACTCTGCGTGGGTTCACCGAAGTTTACGAGGGGCCGTGGTTTGCCATGTAATTAAGCCGTCTTGTTGCCTTTCCTCTTCTCCTATCCTAATTCGCTCATATGGGGGGGGGGCATCATCCCTTGAAGCCACCAATTTGGATGTTATTTAAGATCAACACTTTTCTCTACAGTTTATTCATATCATCTTTGTCATTATACCTGTCCAATTCTAACAAATTTTCTTATTTCAAGAAAACGTACAAACCCCTTCAAATGCTAGAAATGGCCCCTCAGGTGTTCCAGTGCAATGCAGTGAAGAGTTATCTAATAAACGAAAGAAGACTACTTCACCGAAAAACGGAAATGCATTCTTAACTCATCAGAAGGTGAGATTTCAGAGTATCGACCTTTGAAGATTTTAAAGTATGTACATTTGTACAGTGGATTATAAATGACGTTAATGTGGATGTCTTGTTTTTTTGGGATGTCAATACCGGTAATAGATTTTTCTATCTAATATGCCCTTTAATCATCTACTGTTGGGCTTCAACTCAGACATTTTAACCCTACGAGTTTATTCTTTAATTCTTTGTTTCTTATGCTGTACTATTGCCTAATTGAGTTCAGGATATGTTTAAGCCTTGCAGTAAACAATTTCCTAAATAGTTGGGCATGATGGTCTATCGGTCTAGCTTATTGTATTGATATTAACTAATGTTTAGATGCTGATTAGTGCTACTATTTAACCCATCCTGCCCTGAATGAAAACAGTCTAAAACTAGGTCTAACTAGTTTCATAGGTGTATGTCTGAGTAGGGATGCCAGCGAAAATTTACCAATGAGCCTTGACTACAGGTTGTGAAAATTTTTCCTCCGAGCCTCACATAACAATTTTGATAAAATTAATTAAAATGTTAGCTAATGCAGGCCTCCTGTAGTAGGATGTTAAGAAAGTTTAGTGAATGCAATACTCTTTAGTTTCCATAGGAAATTTCCATTTTTTTGATATTATGAAAATTCGCCCTTTGTATCTGTAATAATGTGCCAATTTCTCGACTATACAAACAACCCTGTATTTGAACCTAGTCCTAAAGCTATTTATTAATCATGCCATGAACTAAATTTTGTTACAATATTACAGGGAAGTATGGATGGTTTTCCACCAAATGATGTTCGACATGTTATTGGTTCTTCACTGCCAAGTTCTCATCACGAGTCATATGGTCCGACTACAACAAATTCAGACTATTTTTTACATTCTCGGCAAATGCCTTTGAGATCTCAAGAGGAAACTCCAATTTCTACAAACGCAACAGTTATTTTGAAACCAACGGAAGAATTTATTCGTGGTATATCAAAGGAGAATGAAATGGTTAGTTCTCTATTGTTATTGCCGGGTGATGTAATATCGGAATCGAAATCTTTTTAGAAATGGGCACAAATTGAACTTTTGGGCACTGCATCAAATTTTAAAAATATGCTAACTTGCTTTATTCCTTATTGAATGTAAATTGAAGGTGAATTGATATTATTGATATTGCAGCTACTTGCTTTTGTTATAATTGAAGCAATGCATCTGAAACAGGTAACTGGTTAACTATTCCATACCCAACATGGACTGGTAAGTAACCGGACAAGAGACGGGGCCATATGATTCCTTCTCCCGGGATACATATGCAAAACCTACTCCTAGCGAAATCTTTTTGGTTTAGCAAAGCAGACTGAATTAAAATTATTTGAACCACAAATCTAAATAGATTGTGTGATTTATATGAATTAATTTCAAAAATAGCAGCACAGCTCAAAACTCCTACGATTGAGTCTGTACCGTTTTCTATGTTTGATAATCATAGAATAATATCTTTCTAATGAGAAAATTCTACTGTCTTAGAATCGTAAAACTGGAAGACCGCCACCAAGAAACGAAAGTTTTGAATATAATACTTTGTTTCCTCCAATGACTGTTGCACGAGTAATTCACAACCACGAATCTGGGCTACAAGATTCGAATCCAATGATTTCAAGACCTGGAACTTCTGAAAATTTTAGTGATGATTTTGTTGCAATACCAACACCCTCACAACATATTCCAAACAGGTATGTCAATAATATTATTTCCAGTTTTACGTTCAAACTTATACACTATATAATAAATTCAAATTGACTTTAGTTCTTATGCCAGAGGTTATGTTACTGTTATTTGACAAAGAATAAAGTAGTCCAAAACGAATCAAATGTTCATGTTATGTTCATTCAACTCAAACTTTAGAGTACCGGTAGTTTTATTCGAAAATCTACTGTATGAGCAAAAAAGCCTTTGTTCAATTGCTGAAAACTGTAAAATGTAGAAAACTAATCAATTTATTGTTCTTCTGCAACCTTCCTGAATTTTCAAAACGAACACATTAAATATACATTGACTTTCATGTGTTCTCAATTGAGAATATATTCAATTTTTTATATCCGCAAATATTATTTTAAAATGTATTTGAACAATATATGATTCGGTTTTGGCCATCCCTTACCAAGTTACTGCAGGCGATCACATCTTATAACCCACTTTCTATGTCACAGATTAAGCATCGAGGCATTTCACTAATCGCCAAGTGGAAATAATTTCAGAACCCACTCGATTTTAGTTCTAAAAAGAACTGTAATTGAGTAATGATTTGAGTCATTCCAACTGTGATTACATATTTTGATTTCACAGCATAATAATAGATTATGAGTCCAGATCTCACACTATCATAACTCCAGCCTATTTTTGTACTACTTATCTCCTTGTTGCAATTTTTATGGTATTAATTGTTCAGATTATCACAAAACTCATATTTTTATGTTTCCAGCATTGGTGCGACCTCCAACACTGCTACAGGAGTACAGTATACTCAAATGTTTAATGGAAACATTGCATCACATATTCATCCTTTTTCAAACGTGCAGCAGCCTCCTCTCCTTCATAATACTGGACAAAGTGAGTTTAATAAACCATTATCACACAAGCACAAACGGCTAAATGCAATGGATGTTTACCCGAGCATTTTGTTTATTTCTGTAACCATTACCGTTCAGCAATAAGTCAACAATTGTAATTTCTGCACCCGCTTAGACACTTATATGCTCAGACAGATAATCGAGCATGAACGTAAACATTGCTTCGTTTTTGTGGTTTTGCATGTTATTTGGCAGTTTTCAGTTGTGTTTCAAAAAAGTAGTTGCAAATTAAATAACTTGATTGTCATTATGTCCTCTGACGAGCTGTAGTTTAGTTGCAATATTTGAAGATTAGTTTCGCAAATTCTACAATGGTCTGGGCCAGTGGTTCCCACTGGGGTCCGCGAACCTTTACAGGTCCGCGAAACAAATCTGTAATTTGGCTAATAGCTTGATAATACAAAAATTATGTGCTTAAATTTGCAGATACACATTTGTCGTATTTTGCTGCTTCGCAATCACTGCTGGAGACACTAATTCTTCACTTTTAGTTTCGATCACGCTGCCCCATTGTGATGTCACAGAGCTGTGGGCCTGTGACAACACAGAGAGAGTTCAATTCATGCCACCACAAGTTTACTAACTGCAGAGCTGTAGCTTACGCTGCCCTTTTGCACGTTTACCGAATATCGAAACAGACTGGATGTCACACATGTCATTAGAGTTCCGCCTTATATTCTTTCGTTTGTTTCACTATACGGCGCATTGATTTTTTGTCGTGATCTTTTAATGTTTTGCTTTAGTGCACAAGGCCGGGAATCTTTTAAAAAAAGAAGGGGTCCGGCATAAAAAAAATTTCCAAAAAGTTTGGAAACCACTGGTCTTGGCTAAAATTAGCCATCATTGTTTTAAACATGTAAACCAGTTCGTAAGTGCCAACTTTTTAAAAATACTCTCAAAATAAACAGAAAGAAATTTTGCAACAGTGAAATATGGGGGGAGAATTTTTTTGGGGTCAAGAGTCGGGGAAACAACCATCCTGTTCTTAGATAATATAAAGATGAAAAAATAATTTTTATTATAAAGGTTTGTATTCTTTTTGCCAGAAGACCAGATCAGTGCATTATCCGTAACTGGCCCATCCAGAAAAGTAATTGCCCATCCCTGGTCTGGTTAGTAACATTGCTGTTAATCATAATGAGCTTGTTCTTACGCATATTTGCATCAAATGACCAGTTAATAATTTTTAAATATTTTCTGTACTCCAGACTCATTGCCGCCAGCAGATCTGGACAGCAATCAATTTTATTCAACAAAATCATCATCTTCTCTATCAGATAATGATACAATGATCGTATCATCTACTGTTCAACCTACAAACCCCTTTTATCAGGATATGGAAATAGGGGACCCAAGGACTATGCCTGCAACATCTCTGAATAGAATGGCTGCAGACCCCTCTCTTAATCCAAATATAGATAACAAGAATCAGTCTTTAACAACAGTAAAAGATTTAATGGATTGGGGTGCTGGTATGATTGAATCCAATTGCTGTTGATTTTGATTAGATAGAAGTATGGAAAGGAATTAGAAGTTAGAAGTTTTGAATATTCATGAAACAATGTCTGTTATGTAAATTTGGAATCCAATCCCCCATTTCGTTTTTTAGGGATATCATGTATGTTTTGTCACCGCTTCTTGATCGAAGGACCTAATCTGGGTTGAACATTTTGTTTTATTACTGCAATCGGTCGGTCACTCGATAGTCCTATTTTTTTTAGAGAGAAGAGGTATTTTTTAATAAGCATTATAAAGTGGCTTTATATTGTAACACTTATAATTCTCTTACCAACTCAAAGCCACTCAAAAATGCCAAAGTGACAGAATTTTAATTTTTTGAATATTAATCTTGACTTGATTTAGGGTTGCATAGTGGATATTCAACTGCTTTTTCAAACCTTTGCCTAATTACTACATTAAGAATATTTGAACCAATTTTAGGTAATAAGATTTTTTATCGAAGTACCCTAACCTTAAGACTCTCTATTTTTTATCCTCAGTTAACACGCAAGAAACGAGGCCTCCTCAACTCAGTGCTCAATTTAGAGCAGGAGATAATTCTCACGCGACTCCTGGTAATCGTTATATTTCATCAGATGAAGATAATGATAGCGATATTACTCCTTTTCAACCATTGCAAATCCGGGACTCAGACGGGCATCAACCTAAGGAGTTTGTTGTTCCAAAGGTAAATTTAAATATATCTTATGCGAATATAAAATTGAATCTTTCGATTATTTGTGTGGTGTGATGGATTTAAAAGATCTTCAATTAGTGTAAAAATATGAGTTTCAATTTTTACAGATTGTCAGTCTTTATAAAAATTTTATAAAAAAAGCTACATTTTGTGTTTTTTTTTGTTGAGTAATATACCGTAAGTGCAATATATCATGATGAACATTTTTACTGTTAAAGCTTTTTCAAACTATTCTTAGGTGGTGCATGCGTCTACATTAGCTGCGACAACACAGAATAGAAAAGCGTTTCAAGATTCAAGATATACTGTTCCTCCTGCTGAAGTACCACTGAGACCACCTATTAGGGCCAAGAATGAGGTAACACAAAATTATGTAAATTTTTGATGTCTTAAGCCATTTTCAACAAATTTGAATATAGCTGATTTTTATAACCGAATTCTTTGTTTATTTCACTCAAGTTTGTGTATCTTGATGACGGCGTGTGGTGCATTGTGCTAAGTGTTAGGAATATGCTCGCCATCGTACCTCTAATTACCCTGCGTGGGTTTGCAGGTTCGAATCCCATGCGGGGATAGTTAGGTGCGAGAGGATTGCTGGACTCCTGGTCGGCGTAGGGTGGTTCACATAATCGCTGGTCGGTTACGGCCATCAAGTCCATGTGTCTGAAAACAAGCAACTGGCTAACTGATCCGATACCTGACATTGACTGGTAACCAGACAAGAGGCCGTGGGTCGCCACTCGCCATAAGATTGAGCTGTCTTATAGACTTTCCTCTCCCCCGGGATAAATATGTAAATCCTATTCTATATCTAAAACCTCTTTGATCATCTTTGACAGCAGCCTTCGAATTTAAATCAGTCTGCATCATCAAGAACGAACAATCGACCTGAAAATGGAGGACCAGCTTTACCTCATCAATATCCACCAACGGGAAATAACATTAATAAAGGAACAAAGAGAAATTTAGAAGACGGTAACGTCAAAACTTGTCCAATCTGTATGCAAGTATTTGGTGCAGAATGGTCCGAAGACAGAATGAATAGACATATAAATAATCATTTTAGCGACGACGAGAATGATGTCTTAGTTCTCGATTAGTTAAAACAAATTGTTTTTATTTGTTATTTCTGCGGATATAGTTGAATGATAATTGTGCTGGCAATTGTACCATAAAATATAGTATATATAAATAACTTTTTTTATTGGAAAATCAAACGTCTTTGCGTTGTTTATATTTAAATATTACATGTGTTTATCGCATTGGAAACTAGCAGTTTTTGATAGGAAGAAATTAAATTTGAAATGTGTATTTTGGTAAACTCTGTTATTTGGGTATGACTTAAATATACCCCTAAGAACAGATTTGATTATGAAGTATATTTCACTTCATTATGTCACTTATTTATCTCAACTCTATAAATGACATTTATAGGCCTATATAATTTTTATCTTCTATTATAGTATATGTAGTACTCCATACCTTGGAACCAATTGATTAATGTTATACATGACTAGCAAGCGGGAAAGACGAACTGGTTTTTCATGCAAATATAATTCCTTTACCTCGGAATCAATTTGAATCGTATTGCACATTGTGCCAGATTTGTGTTTCTAAAATGTGGCATCAATGCATATGAGCAATAATAATTTTTTATATTTTTAATCAGTGTATTTCTTTATGATCATGTCGATCAGTCTGTTAGAATATGGTTCGCATATATGAATTGACCATTTCTCGCAAATTCTTTTTTGTCTAGTTTATGTATAACCTTCATGGAACTAGATACTGGTAGATTATGTTGATACGATTATCTATAAAGTTTTTATTCACAAATATATTCAATTTCTTCTGATTTCTCTTCTTTTTCGCACTGTTGATGGTGTTTTCAAACTTATGTGATGAGGTTTATATTGTTTCCTATTAATGTTTGCTTCACTGACTTTTTTAATTGTCAATTCCACGCAATACTAATCATTCTATACTTATTGAAGCAAGTTTCTCCACCATGAGAAATATACATTTGTATTCTCGAAATCAACATCTACGAGATATAACGTTCGTACATCTGGAATCTTGAACGGTATCTATTCCTATAATTGATCTGGACTGTCGACCAGACTGAGTATGGTGGTGTGGCATATGATTAAACTCTCTTCGCAACCTTCAGCCATCCTTAGGAATTTAAATCCAACATTTTTTAGGAAATATATTGAAACCTAACCTTTTTTCTCTCACAATGGTTCACAGGGTAGTAAGTAATTTCTTGTTGGTAAAATTGAAATTGACTCGATATTTCTTATACTCCAAGTCCAAACGACTGTTTTGTTGGTATCTTACCATATATATCATACATTTTCTGTGTTTTCATATTTTTTGAAAATTTAGTATACAAGTGATGAAATTTTGAAACCCATACTGACAAAGCTTAAATGCTATCGTTGCTGAGGGAAACACAGTCAATGCATAGCGCTACATTTCTGATCTAATTTTGGTCAATTATGGAATCCCTTTTTATAAATAATCCTTGGCTGAGCTCTGAGGCACACTGTTAGATTTCAATATACAATTTTGGCTCCAACCAAGTCGTTAAAGCATTTTCTTGCTCAGAATATATGAACATTATTGGTATGTTCTTCTGACAGTACTGCTAGCCGTCATGTTTTTTTAAAGTAAATTGTACATTTTCTTTACCAAATTTTCAATAGTTTTCATTTTTAAGTTTCATTTTATATTTCTATTAATTAAACTTTAATGCCTGGTGGGCCATCTATTTAGATATTATCTTACGATGAGAAGGCAATGGATAAATATGGTAACTACACTATTCGTATGAGTGATGTCGACATTTCTCATATGCCGTACAAATAACTGTAAATTCGTAAATTTACTACGATTTTATGCCTTTCTTTTTGACAGGCGCCCCATGCGGCTATTTTACTGATACTACTATTACTTTTTTTTGGCAGCATAATTATTGTTATATTCTATTTCCCTAAATAAAAATATGATTTGAAACATTTGTGCTGTTATTTTGTTGGGTTGTATTGGCGATCGTGTTGTCGGGGGTTAGGGTAAAAAATATCAATTAATCTATTTTCACGCCAATATCAATCCTTTGCCAGTGTCAAAAGTTGGATACCCACATATTGGTAACCCAAAAAATATCAATAAACGGAAGATACCGGTAAATCATATTGCTTTTTCCTATAAATATGAGTATATCAGTCATACCATTCCGATTATCTTCTTGCTCTAATTTGAAGAAAGGTTTTGAAATTGGCAACTTGAGTGAAAATGAAATGTCAGTGGCAAATTTGGCATGAGTGAATCGGAAATTGAAATGTTTTGGGAAAGGTACCGGTATTTACCGACAACTGAAACTATCATGGGCTACTTCAAATTACAAATATTTATTTTCATCATGCAAGAATTAATAGAAAGAAGAAAACACCTAATATAACTGAAATAGTAAACATTGACTAATAGCAGTTGAACGGGCGCTGCGAAAGACCCTGATTCATCCGATCAACGACACCTTTCTGGCGGAAACAGCAGCAATTATAACAAAGAAACAATCTCATAAAAAAATTTTCTCAAAATACACAATCGAAGAATGTTGAAAAACGCTTTATCTTCTATGGCAGCGTAGTATCATGTATCTCAAACACCTTGTAACCTTAAATATTTGCAAATAAAAAATATAAATAAAATCAGCTTCTCCTCAGCTCCCATCCTTATAAAGACGTGTTGCCACTATATCAATAGAAAACAGATACGGCAATGAAATAATTTTCAACATGGATGGTGGAAATTGGAGTAAGAATTTCAAAAAGTCCGATGCATTGTGTTGATTTCCGCGATCAGATGTACAAACACAATACCGGAAATCCAGTATTCGGGATTATAAGGGAAACGCACGAGAAGTACTCTGTTCTTCTGATCCTGGTGACTGGCACAAGCGGAATAAAATTTAGACTAATTCCGTTCACACGTCGCAACTGGACACGAAATGGGAATCGCGCGAATCGTATCAAGTACTTTGAATCAACATTCTAGTTCAAATGTAGCCCGTGCCACTCTATGAACGCTGTGTCGCAGAAAATAACCTATTTGTCGTAGCTTATATAGTTGAAAAGTTGGCATTTTGAGCAGTCAGTGGGAACTTGATATTATGTATCCTACTATCGACAAGAGCTGTAAAATCGTGGGAAAAACGAACATGTTATAATTGATTATTAAAGTTGAGGGTTTTGGTTTGGTTTGGGCTATGACTTTCGGCAAACGCGGTTACATTAGAGTTTGCCCTTTGGAAACTTGGGCTGTCTTCGAAATTATATAAACATAGAATAAAACTTAGTTTTTATAAATACGTTATTCTGTATGCTTATACAACTGAGTGTTCTTGCATTCGCTGAAAAACTTTAATGTGCGCTAATGTGTCCACTGTTCTGTGAAAACAATTACACTTATGAAAGTTAGACAAGTTTTAGCGCAGATGGGCAAACAGGAATTGGAATAGGTATAGTTAGTTCTCCGATAAAATACGTTTAATGTTGTTCGTTCATATAAAATTCGGCAGATATCATTAGGTAGAATGAATCATTTAGGTAGTATGAATAGATAGATCACTAGAAAGGCCTGGGATTCGTGTTTCCCAAGGTTTCAGTCCTTGGTTCGTCCCGGATATCCCTCAATGTTGTTTTATAGCGTTGAATGTAAACTTAACAATTTTTCTGCATGTTTGCCTCGGAATTAGAGTTTGAAAAATATAATACGTTCAAAATTATGGAGAGAAATAAATGTTTGCCAATATATACAATGCTGATGATAGTATCGATGCTGCAAATTTTTTACCTTGCTGATGCACAAACGACGATGGCAGTAGCAGGTAAACTAGGATAAATGTTCTTTTTTATTCCTATTTTTCAAGTATTGGCACACCAGTAATGCCCCCTTCCACTATATTTGAACCATGTTCAAATACTTCTCGAGCTTTTTTTTTGTGAATCACGGGAATAAATGTATAAATTAGAAAGTTAAAAATGTCAGGTATTTACGGCATTCAAATATGAAATTCAAATTACCAGTTTTTCGAATAGTTTAATTTCGTTATATTCATTACCATCGCATGACATAGAATAAACTAAGAATTTTATTGACTTGATTTTATGTCTCAATGCTGGAGACTATGCCAAAAGCTTACCATTCGATAAAATTTCGCATCGGTTTTAAAAAACGGACATTACAGAATAGTGTACAGTGTCACCATACATGTTATTCCAAATAAATATTTCGGAATTCAATTTGGTTTTCCAAATTATTTTTCGCACGAACATACGAAATGTGATTCTAATTGAAACAATAGTTAGTTTAATAACGTCATGCGCTCATCGTATGCTTTTACGTTATTTTTTTTTCACAAAAATTTATTCTCAAAAATTTGAAATAAATGGCTATTTGAATTTATTCAGCTACATCATCAAGCAATCAAACGGCAACACAGACTATTCCTCCTACAACTACACAATCTCCCACCACTCCAAATGTAGCGCAAACAACACCGTTCGACAATTCTTCAGGTTTGTTAATTCGAAAATAAGAAGTCTGCCTTCTCGAATTTCGTAAATAAACTAGTGATCAATAACATTAATTTATAATCAGTAAATTACTAATAGTTATGACTTGGCTTGGAATTGTGAAAATAATGATTCGGTTCACTAGAATCTGTAATCGGAAGTTCTTAAAAACGAATATCATAAATCTCTTTTCGATTATTTCTCGTTCTCTTATTGAATGAGTACGCAAACTTATAAATACTTTGAAATCATTTATGTTCGTTTCTTGTGGAATGTTTTATCGAAAATATTCGTGCACTTCAGTTCTGATTTGCTCAACAATTTCCTCGAATGTTCGTTCATAATATCATGTATAATTAAACAATGGGTATAACATTATTTCAATGACGTTTAGCCGATAAAAGTTATTTGAATTCTCACCAGAAAACCAGCCCTTTTACTATTGTGAATTGAAGAAAATATATAACTATGTCCTAATTTATCGACAATCAAGAAACGTCTTATCCGTATTCTATTTGGCTCGTTTAATTATAGTCCAGGGTAATTTCTAACGAATTTTTCTGTTGTTCGTAGTGATTTACACGATTGGTGGAAACGCCGGTGGAGATCCTTGCGTATTCCCCATGGTTTTCATGGGAGTTACGTATTATTCGTGTACGACTGCTGGTAGATCGGATGGATATAAATGGTGTGCAACTACAAACAATTATGCAGTGGATTATAATTGGGGATTTTGTCCTCAACCAGGTAATGTAAACACAAAGTGCAGTATAAGTAGCTGATTGTTGTCAGATAAATGACAATGCATAATTCCATCCTCTCCTGTTCTAAAATATTGTTATTTTGTAGCATTTCCTTACAATGGGGAAAATAAATATGATTTCACTTACATATGACTTGATATATATGGTATTCTAAAATAGCATGTGAAAGTTATAGGCAACTAACTCAGTAATTAGTATCGTATGGTAATCTTATCGTTGCCAAATGTTGGGATGAAATTCAAAATTCGAAATCGTTTTTAGTGCGTTCATTTTTTTACAATCTTGTTATCTTATTTAGTATACGGGTGCGGTGATTTTTGGGACGAAGAACCGTTCGGAAAATTTTGCTATCAGTTCAATTTTCAGTCTTCATTGACATGGGTGCAGGCGCGGGACGCTTGTCGACAGCAAGGCGCCGATCTTCTGAGTATAACAACTCCAAAAGAACAAGGATGGATAGCAGGTAGTAACCAGAAGATAGCCCACCAGAAAGTTTGAAAATTAAATTTTTAATCGAATATATAATGATGACGTCTGGTATTTCAATTTCTAAAAATTAAAACTGTTCCCTTTTGATGTTGATGGCATCATCACTTGACACATAACCTATATTCGATATACAAAAAACTAACCTTAAAAATCGAATGACAAAAATTATCCAATGTCAGAATACTCTTTTTCTCAATCAAACACTGTAACCTTGTATTTGAGTTCAACAAGAGAAGGCACATTCTTTTTCATGGTCTTAAGAAGAACATAAAACATGTAAACTTCAAGCGACAATAACAATACAATTCCCTAATATGGAACTCGAAGATGATGGGATATATTTTATGAAAAGTGAACGTTGAAATGAACACATCATAATTTTTGCATATATCATTTATTCAGGTCGTATTCAAATTGTCACAACCGTAATGTGGCTGGGATTGAGTGATATAACGGTGGAAGGTAACTGGGGATGGACTGATCAATCTCCTCTCACATATCTGAACTGGCGAGCAGGTAAACGTCTCGTAAAATGTGATCAATTTTTACACTATGTTGGCCGAAAAATTCCAAACACTTTACTTTTTTATGCTTGAGAAATAGGAAAGCACGAGCTTCCACGTAGTGCGTGACCATCAGAGATTACTCCAGAGAGTACAATGATTTCCTATTACTTCCTTTCTCGAAAATACTTTGTCACAATCGAAATTGAAATTAATTTGAAATCGAGCCTGTCAATTTTTCGCCTTTTTGGTCACACTTTGGGACTCATAAAAATTTCTGCTCAACCTTGAAAATTGAATTCTTTGGCAAGTACAGAACGCATACTCGACAAACAAATTCGAATTTTTTCCCTGACAAATTCTTAGATACAATTTACGAATAATACTATGTTGTACAGGACAGCCGAATAGTTATGGTGGAAACGAAGATTGTGGTGCAATAATTACAAGAAATGGATTATGGGGAGACACACCTTGTTCAAGACAACTAAGCTTCATTTGCAAGAAACTTGGTATAGCGTTTTTGGAATTTGAAAATAACTTTGTCTTCACATTACGCCGAATTGGTTTTGTGACGATACCTCATATAAAAAAAATTGTCTTCAGATCTATAACGTACTGTATAAAGATGGAATTATAGTAACACTATTTTCTTCGAATTAAGAGACAAATTCCTTTATTTCATGATTGTTTACAAAATCTGTTTTAATTATAGACGAATCTTCTACACCGCCTCCGAAAACGACTCCCACGCCATCAAACTCCAGTGATATAAATGTGGCTTGTTACCATGGTGATGGAACTTTTTACAAAGGGAACAAAAACACTACAGTTTCAAACAAAACTTGCATTAATTGGAAAGAGCATACTCCAAATTTTGGTAAGGCATTCTGAACTTAAGTAATTGATTTGGAAACTACATACATTTTTCACCGATATTGCTTCCCTGCCACTGTTAGTCAAAAAATTATGATTAGGGCCAAAATGATTCGGATGGGGCATTCCCATTCATTTTCCTTATCACAACGATAACGAGAAATATTTTTGTATAATATACACTCAACTTTATGGAATGAAAACCATATGCTCATTTGTTCTAGGTTTAGAAGGAAGTTTTTGTCGAAATCCAGATCATTCACCAATGCCGTGGTGCTACACCAGTGATTCAAAGACTCCTTGGGAATACTGTGACATACCCCGATGTGAAGGTTGGAATTATATTTTGTCTACCACTGTCATTAATATTAGTAAATGCGCGTGAAAATGTTTTGATCATTTGCATCATTCAACGGCCTCCATGGCACTGACTAGTCTTCAGGATTTTTTTTTTTTAGAACATGACTCGTTCATGCTTGATAATCCAAGATTGGCTAATAGGTAAATATTTTTGAAACACGGGGATAGGTCACAGTTCGACCGTGTATGCCGGTACAAGGATTCCGATGTGTTGGTACCAGTTCACGACTGTTATAAGATGCCTCCAATAGGGGCTATTGGTATGCATCGAATTCTATTTTTGTTCTCTTCTGATATCGAATATTTCATTCACCTTTATCAGGCAATACCGCAGTATCGTTTCCGCAGATTTTTCAAAATGCTTGTTTTAGCGCAGTACTAAATACAGTATTTAATGAAAAGCGATGTTTCCAACTTGACACAATTCTCCTTTTATAGGTCGAAAATACTGTAAACAAGGCTGGAAACAGGTCGGAGGACTATGCTACAGGCTTGGATGCACTATACCATCAATATGGACGACTGGTCAGGAACAATGCAAACGTGACGGAGCAAATCTTGCACGAATAAACAATGCAGAGGACATGAATGAAATTTTTGCATGGTTAAAACAAATTCAACCCTGGACTGGTAATATTTGTAGTAAAAAAAATATTGCATAATTGTTTGCCGTAAAAGTAGGAATGACCAATGACTTACATAACAGAATAAATCAAGCCTCTTGTAACCGTAACATTTTAATTTTTTCATTTCCAATGATTTCATTTATGTTTGAGTTTGAAACAATGTAACATAGATTTATATAAAATCCACGAAAACGTGTAAAAATTGATTGTGTGATGATAATTTTTTGTGATGTAGATTGGAAGTAATTCATAATGAGCATTTCCATGAGACGGAGAAAAAAAAAAAATATATATATATATACATAATTAAACTTATTTCAGGCCTCAGTGAAATTTGGACTGGATTGAATGATCGAAATCACGAAATGATGTTTACATGGGTTCCCAAACTTACGGTGAATTTTACTTACTGGGATAGAGATCAGCCGGATGATATTAAAGGTATGGACTCTTGCAGATTGTCAGACTACAATCAGTTTTTAGTTACTAGTTGCTTGTCAGCTTTTTAACATAGAGTGGGCTAAATACCTTGTTGTACGTCATTATACTGCGACAATTTCTTTCAAGTATAATTGATTATCGTTTTGCAATATGGACATTGTCTCACATACGTCATGTTTTTGAATGACCTTTTTTTAATCACAGCCAACGTTTTACCCGAGTCTGGTGTAACAACCATGTTTGTTCTGTTGTAAATCCGGTAATTTCTTTTGTCAACTTTATTCACTAATAATATTGATGAAGATGGTCAATACTTATTATCATTGGCCTAAATTTATACCTGCTAATAGCCTGTCTCTAATTCAAGGGACTGATGATTGTGTGAGAATGAATCTGACAAGCGGGAGATGGAACGACATAAACTGCAACACAAAACTTCAGTTTCTGTGTGCCCAAGAACCAACGGAACCTAATATACCTGATACCGGACTTTCAGACGGAATATGCCAGGGTAGGCAGTCTGGTGGAACACCAGGCAAATTCAATCCAGGGCAAGGTGAGATTGAGATAAATGTTCTGTTAGATAATATTTCACAGATTGAAAACAATAGAATTTATTTTTATTCTACTATATAGGTTCAAATGGAACATCAATTCAATATCCGACGGCACCTACATTACCTGGTAAGTATTTCTTTAGATAGCAAACATTTCTTCAAGTGTGTGCGTGTATATGGTATTGCTCTCGTCGTAGTAATCTTTTGATCCTTATGGCATATTGTTTATTTTCGTTTGTATGATTGTGGTTGGTCTTGCTTCAAAAGGAAAAAACGTACTTAAACTGATGTATTGATAAATTTTATACCAATCAATATGTTTTTTAAATTTCGGAGAAATTCTATAGATTTCAAAAAATGTAATATTATACCACGAGCATTTTGCTGCTTTTCTTCTATATATATGTGCGATGCATTATAATGGTTTGCTCAATTTATTTTCTGATTAGGCTGCGATGACGGTTGGGTTGGATATGGTCAATACTGCTTCAAATTTGAACACGATATGGCCAATTGGACAATTGCTTATAGAACATGTAAAAATCGATATGGTGATGATGCAAAGCTAATTCTCCCTCACGATAGGTAAGAATAAAATACATTGCGCCCCGAAACGGTATAAAAACGTCATGATTTGTGATATGTAGACATATTTCTTTGATTTCCTAAGAGACCCAAGTAATATTTATTCCCTAAACTGAATTCGATAAAACGCCCTCGGCCACGTCAAAAAGTGGGACCCGGAGGTTTTCGATGAAATCACGGTCTAAAGGCAAGGCTTCAATTTGCAGATATGAGCAGGCTTTCATAGCAAGCCAACTTGCTCGATACAGTGGTGACGTGAAGTTCTTCTTGAATATGTTGGCAGTAAATCGACAACCTCACTCATGGCTTTTCTTGGACGCAAATTTGGATAATTTAACAAATACAAAACAGATATCATACACTTATTGGGCACGAAGACAACCTGTTGCACTACCGGATGTCAAATGTGAGTTATTATGTCCATTTTATGTAGAATGCTTTATGCAAGCAATCGTCGAATTTCCCTCTACGAAAGTATATCCACATTATTAAAAAATGGCCTGGCCGAAAATGCGACACTTCTGTCCTGCGGTGTCGCAATGAATAAATTGGCCATCCCGCAACGGTTTTCTGGACTCTTCGCCCCTGGGGTGGTTCACGTAACCACTGGTCGGTTACAGCTTCCTCCACCACCAAGTCCATGCATCGGAGAGCAAATAACTGGCTAACTAATCCCATACCCGACATGGACTGGTAGCCGGACGAGGGGCCGTGGTTCGCCACATGATTAAGCTGTCTTATCGGCTCTCCCCTCCCCGGGAGAAATATGCGAATCTTATCCTATAAAGATGTGTTGTATTTCAGATGGTATGTGCGGTTACATCAGTGCTGGGCATACTGGAGGCTTGTGGAGCGTGGGTGATTGCTCAGACACTCACCGTGTTGCATGCATGAAGATGAGAGAAGGTGCTACACCATATCCTCCTACGCCATCAACACCTCCTCCTGCCGACTGTCCCGATGGTTGGGAGGTAAGTAATGCTTTTGACGTCGTTTTTCGTAAAATCGCTATGATTAAAGCTATAAACAAAAATACGCCGAGATCTTGACTCCGCGACCAAACATAGTTTGACCCAATCTACTACAGATATTATATCAATATTCTCCTCACAGTAACTAAAACAAATATATATGATATATAAATTGCAGGCAATTGGAGACAAATGCTACAAAATTTACGTCAAGCATTATCGGAGAGAACGCAAAACATGGTCTGAAGCAAGAGATTTGTGCATTTCAAATGGTGGACCTGGCAACGTAGGACAAGGCAATTTGGCCAGCATACATAGTGTTCAACAAGAAGAAACATTAAAGAAGCTTTTGCCATACTGGGTGCCTGGAACAATATGGATTGGTCTTAGCGACCGAAACGGAGAGGGGAAGTATGTAGACCTGTTGAAATAACATGATAACATATAATATAATGTTGTAAAAATCGCATTCTAATGAGCATGTGAAATATCAAAATTAACTTTACAATTTGGGGTGAAATCATTTCAAATTACACACACATAAAGAATTAAAAATATAAAGCGAGAGGTGCGAGATTTGAAGCTAGTATCAGTGGATTACAGTTGCTAGTCTCAAGATTCTATTATTCAACCCAACACAGCCAGATGGCATATACACAGTATTATTCATTATTTTAGAGTATCCATTCTTGCTATAATAGTGGTTTTGGTGTTGTTCTGTTGGAAAATAACACAAGAAAACGTTGAAATAAAAATTAATCAATTAGGAATATTTATTAACCCTCTACTAGACACAAAATCTCGTAAGTTCAATAGAAATTTTGGAATTTTGGCGTTTAAAATTTTTTTTTAGAGGAGTGCGTTTTACATAATTGCTGAATAGAACTGTGGCACACGAAAAGCCATGAGTAAAGCTTTCGGGCTTGATGGTAGACTAGACAAAAAAACTCATGTAAATTGGCAGTAGATCGACCGGCTGTGTTTTAATTGCAAATAATTTTTGTTTCTTTAATGATATTTTTACTGAAAGGTACACCTGGTCTGATGGCACCACACTGTCTTACATTAATTGGGCAGAAAATGAGCCGAACAATAAAAATAATAACGGAGATTGCGTTGCATTTAATTCGCATAAGAGTCCACCAGCATGGAATGACGGAAATTGCAACACACTGAGAAGTTGGATGTGCCAAATCAAGTAAGACTACTATTCAGAATTATTCAAGTAGAGCTGCAACTAACTCAGTGAACAACCTATTGAAAAAGACAAACTGAAATCGGCTATAGAGCTCGTCAGATACTTAACATGTTCTTCGTAAATCACGATGCGCTAAGTATTACTTGGGACCTTACCTATTAGTGAGATTTCGTTACATTTATATTGGAAATGAATGTTATCCTGTTGTAGTGCCCTTCATCGCACAATATTCATGATTCTACTATTACTACAAAGATAATTACTTTTCTAGCGTTTAGCGTCATCGAATACTTATGTTTATGAATGTGTTTTTAGTCGTGGTGCAGTTATACCTGATATGACGAATGTAACAACGCCTGCTCCAATAAACTGCGGAGATTCATCATGGGTATATTTTAATGGAAGTTGTTATTATTTCAGGTAAGGGATATATCATTTAATTTATTGTATTAGCAGACTGACCAAACAGCAATGATTAAAATAGTCTTCAAATTTGCCTAATTGTTGCCATAACATAATTTCGTTACTGAGCTTTTTCTGACGGAGCTTTTATGAAGAATGCACTGTTGAAACAACGCCAATGAAACATTTAACGATATATAATGCATCATTTTGCGTTTCCTACTTTTATAACATCTTTAGCTTGAATATTAGTTTGCATTTTATTTTATTAAAAAGGAGCAAAAGAATATGCCGTCATAATTCAAAAAACTTCACAATTTTAAATTCCTCGCAACATTATTAAATATAAATTTAGATGACAAGGTTGGGGTGGCTTAAAACCCAGATTTAATAATTGTTAATTTATATAATTAGAGTTTATAAAATTCAATAAAACCATATGAGATGTTTCTTTAGTTAGAAAAGATGGCACTAACAGCATATGATATGTTTACTATTTTTTACTGCATGATTAAATGTAAAAAATCCAAACTATAAGTGATGTGTAAACAAGGTATTTTTCATAATTCAGTCAACGCGAACGATTAACTTACTACGACGCAAGAGACAGCTGCATGAAAAAGGGAGGAGATTTAGTGTCAATACATTCAATGAACGAGCAAGATTTTCTTCATGTTCAAATCCAAAGACAATCAACGATGGAATGGTGAGTTCAAAGTTCACTTTGAATCAACTAGAAAATGATTGCATATCATAAATGTCCAATCCAGAAGATATATATGGTACTCTGTGTTTGGCCATGTATGATTTGAAATTTTCTCTAGCTGATTCTTGAAATAGTATGATGTTTACAATCACCTTTGTAATTGATTGGGGTGATTTTATGCAGGAGGCTGCCGAAGCGTCTCGAGGATGCCCTCCGTAGTTGGTAAAGTACAAAAATATGAATATTCTGATTGCTTTATGTATTATAAAATTCGATGTTTAAAAACATATATACGTAGATAACTACAAAAAAACTGTAATAGCGCTCAATTTCGAGTAACACTTCTTGATTTTTTTACATTTGTATAGATCATTTTCATTCAAAAATTTGTAATGTAGAAATAATACGATAGGACAACATTGCATAAAATTATTGTATAAGAACTAAAATATTCATATAAAAATTAGTTTTGTTTGTATGCGTTGATACTTTCAAAAACGTTAATTAATATTTGAACGTAGCAACGATAATATGTCAACCTTGCATTTTGTTTCAAAATGACCTGTTTTGCTTAACTTATTGACTATATTTTTCTGCTATTATAAGCATTATAACGTACGTATTTGATCATATGCCGTTGTTTTTAAAAGGTGGATTGGTCTCGATAGCAACACTAGAGATCGAGAATTTCTTTGGACTGACGGGACGCCAGCCAACTTTTATATGTGGGGAGAAAGTAGGTTTCAAGCAATAATGCGCCAAAATTAAAACTATCACTTATTTTATATATAACTCTTTTTTTTTGTTCTTATTTTCTCATTCAGTGTTCTACTTTTCGCCAATTCAAGTTCTGTAATTTATTCTCACTATCAATTTTCTCGATATATATTTTCAACCATTATTTCCTATATTGACCCTTATTTCGACACTGTGAACTCCGCTACCATATTAGAAAGGTCATCATTATTTAACCATCCAATTGTAATTGATAATCTAAAATGGATTAGATCAGCTAAGACTTCTGATGCAGTGACACAGATAAAATTGTTATAACGTTTTTATAGATGACGTTGACAATGTATAAATCCACATTTCTGTGATATTTTCCCCACCTATTTAATTTACTGAAGAACTTTGTTTTTCCATTTCACTCAATGCAGAGGAACCAAACGATGTTAATAGACAAGAACAATGCGTACAAATGTATCAAACGGAGGGACAATGGAACGACGTAAACTGCGGAAAGCGTTATGGGTAAATGTTATTATCGATTTAATAAACCGTTTCATACATTGCTTGAAAATTCTTTTGTGGTAATATCATTTTTAGTGTGTTTACTTTTGCATTCCATTTTCTCGTTTAGTTATATCTGCAAAAGATTGAACGGTACCTCAACGACTGCGATCACTCCAACGCCAGAGTACCGACCAAGGGGATATTGTCCTGAGGATTGGTGGATTTATCGGGGTTACTGCATTAAAGTGTTTGGCATAGGCGAACAAGACAAGTAATTTCATCTCTTTCACGTATTTATTATTGTGTAACAATACCAATATACATTATTTTGCAATGAACACAAGCGACAATTACATACTCAATTATATTGAGTATGGGCGATCTCATTGTGCTTTTTTCACATGACTTCTGTAGTTTTAAACTGCTTGTTTAATATGGGCAACTATTAGTCACTTGGAATTACCAATATTGGTGGAATTGACAGATAAGTGCAGTGTATGTTAATAATCTTTTACAGTAGAATTGATCAAGTCACGAAACATTTTCTTTTAGGCTGAACTGGACTGATGCGCGCGACGAATGTATGGCATTAGGAGGAAATCTCATTTCGGTTTCAAATGCTCAGCAGCAATCGTACATAACGGTATCTACATTTTTCACATATCTAGGTCTAAGTGTAGATACGTCACTTTGTAATTAATATGAAATGTTTGATAATGACGAACAATATACCAAACAGCTGGTTGTAATAAATCTCACCTTTTGAGGGGCTCTGTCAAAATTACTGTTCACAGAATAGAAAAGAGCTGTTATCCTTTACCCATTGAACTTTCCTTCTAAAAAAGCAAACTGCAACCTTGAATCTTACTTCGTATCTATGTATGTACGTCTATATATCTTCAATTTCTTTTCTTTTTATATGACGCCTATACACACGTTTCGCTCCAAACGAGGTCCTGTGTAAGCACTACTGATATCTAACGCTATATATTTATTTGTAAGGACTGAAATCGGTACCCCGTAGTGTATGTACCAGGTTAGGGTTAGGTTATAATTTTATTTCGATTTTCCTTATTTTAGTTCTATTACGAGCTCGGGGATTGTCTGTGTTAGACAAGTGAATATACCTCATGCCCATAGGTTTCAGCCCCTTTACACAACTTGATGTAAAGTAGGCGAACCAAATTAGTTACCTCCACATTGGTACACACACTTCTGGAGCGCCCTGGAATCTTCCTGGTCTGGCATTGCCTACCCAATTTATCGCACCCTAGGTGAGGAGGGGCATGGAATTTGAACCCGGGATGTGCAATCCGCGATGTCAACGATTTAAGTCTGATGCTTTAACCGCTGGGCACCGTCCTAATTAAAGGAGTTTAGGTAGATATAGCTTATCAAGACATAAATTATATAATAACAAACATTGCTTCATAAACAAACTGTATGTCTTATGCATAATGACAAATTCTGTTATATAATTTTGTTATTTATATGTCATGTACAATTTTTTTCATTTTTATTAGAGTATGCTGATAGGAATCAATGCCACCGATATGTGGATTGGCTTGAATGATTTATTTGGTGAAGGCAGTTTTGTATGGAGAGATGGAACATCTTATCAATTTACAAATTGGAAACATGGCGAACCAAATAGCCCCGCTTACAGAATAGCTGCAGCAAATGTAAGTGAATTCATGACAGTTTATAAATAAATTATTTTCTGTCAGAAATTAGGCCATATTGTAGATGTTTGTAAGACAATGCAGCATACTCATTTGTGTTTTAAATATCACTTTTGAATTTGCTCGCTTTATGAGTTATTTATTCTGTCTTTTTCGTTGCATTGCTGTTGTTTAGTATGTGGGCATTCTTAAATTTGTAATTTGAAGACAAAGTAATTATAAAATAGATTTGTTATTTTTTTCTAAGATAATGAATTAAAGAAAAGAATATCTTTGCATGGACGTTGGCAGTGTACAAACTTCTGATTGTTCTGTGCTCTTTGTTGAATATTTCCATATTATGGTGCTCGTGATTATGGTATGGCTATTTGATGTTGATGTTCATTTTTTATCTTGTAGCAAGACTGTGTGAAAATGGTGACAGAGAAATGGAATGTCGGTCGGTGGGCTGACGATGTTTGTGCGAACGAATACGCTTATATTTGTGAAAAACATCGATCTGCTAATGCCGAAGATTTATGTCGTGACAGCCCGAAGTGGCCTTCTATGTGTCAGGTAATATTTTTTCAAATAATGTAATTTAATTGGTTGAAACACTTCATGTGGCAATTCATTTTATATAAGCATTTTCTCAAATTTTTTGCATTATCGCGGAGATGTGACAGAAAAATTTTGACTGATACTGACAGAGATTGTTCAGTTCATTTTTACCTTTCGTTTTATTGTAAATGAGTAATCTCGCAGTGTGTTACGGAATAGCATTCATTTTTGTCTTCAAAAAACGTTGGTTTTCATTACTATTTCATTTAACTGTATTGGACAATTAAAAAAATTAAAGAAAACGAATACAATCACTTCAGTAATCAATACGTTTCTTTTCAATCAAGGATGTAACAAAAAACAAAGATTGCAAGAAAATGAGACGAAGGCAAAAAGAAATGTGTATGAGAACATGTCAAATGTGCGATAGATTTATAAAACCAGCTAAGTCTTCTAATGCCAATCCGTGTCAGAAAGGTTGGAGATCTTGGAACAATGAATGCTGGACATTAACTAAAAATAATATGACATGGGACGAGTGAGTACTTTGGTATTATTAGAGGATTAAAAGTTTTGATTCGAAAGTCTAAAATAATTTAGCATAATGTAAAATAATCGGTTCCAAAGTTTAGTTTTCTCAAATGCATTACCGATGGTGAGATTCAATTTTTTTCAAAGGTTTTGTATCGATCTCACTAACAACAGGTTCCCTTATTTCACAAAACCATGGCAAACCTATAGCTTTAAAAACAAGATCGACCTCGATGATAATCACGACATCCCCTGAATTCCACTAGTACCAACAATTAGGAAAATGCACATGACCTGTAACCAGCTAAAACTGCATAAGCCATAAATAATTAAATAAACTCAATCATAAATGGTCCTAGCCAGGTAAAGATTAATATTGAGTGATCACCCTTGTGCGGTTTATTTCAACGAATGTAATGGAATCCCCCAGAAGCGTGAATGTTGTATGTAATACGGATTGTACACCGGAGACACACAGGGAATTTTTGCCCTTTTGTGATTCGATTTCATTTACACGAACAAATTCTTTTGCTAATAGTTTTGCTAATAATCTATGTATTCATTTGTTCTTATGTACTGTGCTAAAATCATTCACATGACTTTGTAGGGCCACGAAATATTGCTCCGATGCTGGCGCTGAATTAGCAACGATAGGTGATGAATACACACAAGCATGGGCTTTCAGTCAACTTGCGGATCCAACGGAAAATCCGGACTTATCTCTTCCAGTAGGTCAGAAAGGTTGGATCGGATTGAGACAATACAAGAGATCTGATTCTTACACATGGAACAGCAAATGGTAAGTTACTGGACTACAGTAGTAAAATTGTGCTACTTTATGTTGGTATTTTATTGATATTTTTTATTGATGTTTTTTGAGTGTTTGACCTCGTTTCTTTAATTCAGTTTGAATATTTCCGTTTTATCTTTATTTATATCTTTTATTAATTTTACTAAACAAGAACTACAGTGTTTGTCTCTTAATCTGTTAATCTAATGTTATACAAATGAAACCATAGAAGTCGTGAAATGATATATCATAAAAAACAATTTCTGTTGCATTTTCTCAATATTTTAGTCAAATATTAAAATTACTTTTGCTACTAGGCCAGTGTTATACACAAACTGGGGCCGTGGTCAGCCGAAATCAGCCAATGGAACCACTCCTGGATGTGTTATTATGGACGGTAAGACGGACAAAAGAAAGCAATGGCAAGGAGGGTTCTGGTTTGATACTGATTGTTCTAGTAAAATGATGGCACTCTGCAGAAAAAGCGACAAAAAGCCACCAAAGAATATCACAGTTTTTCCTGGAAAATGCCCTGACGTATGTACATAAATTTTTTTGTTTCTACAAATTTTGCGTGTGTTTATTCATGTTTTATTATAAAAACGCACAAAAACATTTATATGAAACATAATAAAACTACTTCAAATATATGTTATATATATCTTAGCAACTATAAATTTCATTTGCATCCATTAACCCACTATATTATTTATAACTTATACAGCATTCATATTTTGACACTTCTTTTATTTTCTGCAGAATTCGTGGGTGCCATATAAAGAAAACTGCTACTTATTCCGATCGGAACAAATGTCAACATGGTACCAATCAGAGTTCGACTGCTTGAAACTGAATGCACATTCTGCTAGCATACATTCGGAAGATGAATCCAATTTTATTATGCGTCAGTCAGCCAACACGAGATCATCTTCATTCATTCGGCGCAATGTGTATGTGGATTCATCATTTTTTTCCTAATTTGTATATTTAAAGGTGTAATCACAGTGTTCTTTTATTTACAATTGCAATTAAACATATCATTTCGTGATTCAAACTTTTTTATGGTTTCTCCGAACAAATTTGCAAATTTATTGAAGTCGCATCAATGTTGTTATTTTCTTTTACTAGTTGGATAGGATTGTACAGATCGCTGGATGATGACAGTTACTCGTGGACAGACAATTCAGCTCTGTCTTATCTAAACTGGCAGGAAAAAGAACCTACAAAAAGTGGTGGACTGTTTAAAGTAAGAAATATGTCTAATCCGTTATGATTTATTAGTTTTTGTTTTAGATTAGTCCAATTTTGAAGTAGAGCAGTGGATTAAAATTTTCGTTTGTTAATTTGGAATTAGTTTATATTAATTGTATCTTGCATACAGTTAGTTCTCTATTCACGAGTGCTTTACTTATATTTTGCAGGAGGTTTGCACCGAATTATCTGTGTCGAATGGCAAATGGTACGATACGACATGTAACAAAATTGGAATTTCAGTTTGTAAGATACCAAAAATGTTAGGTAAGAAAACTTCTGCATGTAGCAATTAGGGATCGTGCTACAATCCCGACGTGAAATGTTATTAACGGTGGTGCATTTGGATATCGGTATATTGCAAAAGACGTACAAACTTCTTTATATAATTAGATTTCATTGAATTACCTGGATTTGAAAATTGAAATATTATTGTGTCACTCGGTATAAAATGTACCAATTGCCAACAATAAAAATATAATTCTGCAGGAAATAGCGAACGTGACTAAAGATATCACTATATCAATCCGGTTTTAGATATGATTGTATTACTCTAGAAATACGCATACTTGTATATCCGTTATGTTATCATCTGCAAACTATTGTGAAAATAAATACTCGCTCCAATACTTGTTTCAATTCATTTTGGTGTTTCTATTTTACTATTTAAAGTATATTTTTATGGATTACAATTCCTGCTTGGATTCTGTTGCCAAATGTGATCATTGATAAATTATAATGAGAAAACAGGCCAGCAAATTTCATATTGGCTTAGGTACATCAACTGTGAATTGTTGAAAATAATTAATAAAACTATACATTGACTTATTTTAGACGGATCTGGAAATTCTGGAAAAACTATAGGTCCAAAGCCCGCAGCAAGTAAGTATTCTTACATTAACTTCGTAAATTGAGTTGGCTTTATCTCGGCATCAAATAGCTCAAAAACACTATCAAATGCAAGCAACATGTTTCATTTTATCTTCGCCAAATTCCATATAATACTAGATAAATTTTATATTAAATCACATCATTCCCTAATACTCTTTCATATTCTCATTTCACAGGTAACATTGCTCTCCCAATTATTTTGGTTTTCGTCGTGCTGATTATAATTGGATTTGCGTGTGTAGTGTTTTATTATTATAAATCACGAAGTGGAAAAGGAAACTACGTTCTTCAGCTGCCTAGCGTATCATTTCGTGACTTCTTGTCAACAACTCCTGGCCTGCGAACCTTCATGACGTCTGGTTCAGGCGATCAACAAGGTCTTGTAGAAGAAGTTGGAGACGACGAAGGAGACTCGCTTATGAGTAAAGATGGTGGATATAGATAAAATTCAAAAACTGTGACTATATATATTTCAAAATTTTTGAAAGCAGTGCCAACTTATACTTAATTACATAAGTAGGAGTAGTTCATCCTCTGACTGGCTTTTCTCAAAGTAATTTTCTAACCTGCATTTTTGAATGAATGTAGTCGAAGAGCCTTTCATTGATAATGTGTAAAGGCCTTAAAACTTTTGTCTTCACTATCAAAATCATACAGACGAGCTATTGTTGACGCAACACCCCACTCGAAGACTACCAGTTCATAAAATTTGTATTCATAAATTTGATGTTTTCAAAAGTATGGATAATAATATTTTTGAGAAAAAACTTAGTTTTTAAAATTTCAGTTGAAATCTTAATAACAAGTTGGAAGAATTACATATTTGATTTTGTTGAAATTGCACTCGTAATAATAGTGCAGTTTTATAAGTGCAATTTGTATTAAAATTATTCCAAATAAATTCCATTTGTTATAATATGTTGTTTTTTGTCAGTTGAGAGGTCGAACTTATTAAATTAGAAAAGTTTTGAAAAACGATTTTGGTGACAAATCACAGCGTGCGTTACGTTTCTTTTCTGGTGGACGCAACTATTTTACTTACTCTTCTAGAAAAATCTTGGAGGATATGAATTGTCTCAATATATGTATAGAAACGTTACAGGGTCATTATTCACGTCATTCGACGTCACTCAATTTGAAGGAAAGTATGAGACTAAATTGCTTGCGCACCACTCATATTCGTGTTTTCCCATACTCATTTTATTGCATTGGTCTGAATAAATCTGATGAGGCTGGGGGACATGACTTGTTACATGTACTTTGGTGAAGTAACTGGTAAAGGTGTAGCAACGAGTTCGCTGAGCAAAGTGGCGGTAATCGTGAAATTGCAAAATGATATTAAAAGAAATGAAAAGTACCTAATTAATGTTTGAAGTCGGAGATTGGGCTCGAATAAAAAGATGAATTTGGGATTACAATTCCAAATCAAATTTGTCGAGTAATAGGTTTATTCAGTTATTTTATTATTACCCTTTTCAATTAAGTACCTTGAGACAACTCGGTGGGGCGGTTTAGTCAACGTGCTGCCCAGTCATTCGCACTTTATCTGTGGACACACGGTAATCGCACTGTGAACCCTGGGGTTCGACCTGGACCACGTTGGGAAGCCCTGCTTTAGATAATGCTTGCTGAATGTTGATTTACGTTTGACCAAGTAGACCAGGGGTCGGCAAACTACGGTCCGTGGACCAGATGCGGCCCGCGACGCTTCACTGAATTATAGCAGGGGTGGCCAACCTGCTTTCGGCCGCTATCGACTAAAATAGTTTCAGCATCATTTCCCCGAAAATTGTACGGTTTTCGTGTCCCACGTGTCCCATGGGAAATACAAATGTGCGCAGTCCCATCCCACTCCCATGGGAATCCCATTCCCATGGACAACCCTGATAATGTCCCAGTGACCAAGCATTTTTTTTTCAAAATTAGTTGCAATTTAAGTTTTCTCGCTTTCCGAATGAATAAAATTTTCTGATGATGATAATGTTGACAATGCTGTAGGTAATGGGATACGGTCTTTAGTACAAAACAATGTTCGCAAAATCCGTTGAAATGACAAGCAATTCTGTGTAAATATGTATTCAGGACGCAATGATCAGTTTGCAGTCGGAATTAAAAAAAATTGATATTTGCATGTCTGCTCGTTCAATTAATTTATAATCGACTCTTCTTTCAGATTTTTAACAACTTTTTTGTATCCTCTTGTAATAACTTATAGCGGCTGCAATGAGGGGAAGGTACTCAAACGTTGAAAAACCATTGGTGTAGTTGACAAAATAGCTATCCTTGGGAACAAAATGGCTGATAAATTATGTTTAACTACGCCTGGGAAATTCAGTTCAACCACTAACCGTTTGGCTGAGTGTTGAGTTTGTTTGACATTAATTTGATTTATGATGATGTTTTTCCGTTTCCTTACGAATAACTTAACATTAAATATACCTATAGTCGTTGGTATTGAAGATAGTAAATACGGCGAGTTGGAATATTGATTCATTAATTGTACATGTGTACGAGAATAAAATATTTTATACATAATAGGATATACCAAATATATCATTTATATAAGTATGTTCATTAGGGCTGAAAATTCCAGTGCAAATTCTTTAATCGTTACTCTGAGAGAATTACCTATCAATCACCGTCAACGTGAAAAAGCATCACAAAACAACAATAAAGTTGCCTCAGGTATTTATGAAGATGGGAAATAACTTTTACCTTTACGATTCTGAAGGATTTTCGCCCAAGTATCGAAATAGTTTAGTGATTTGATATTTGGCCACTCTCTTGCGAAAATTGTACGGACTAAATGGAATAATTGCAATCAATTTAAAACGGTGCTTTTTACGTCTACATTTAAAGCGATTGGTTGAATCTAATCGAAATGGTCTGCGTACTGAGTAACAAAACAACAAAGCGTGAAACTAAGAAAGTAGATCAAAATCTGAATATTTATTGATAATAATGAACAATACACATCCAAGGCCTTAATCTAAAAAGAACAAAACTTGCTTTGAGAAAATAAGTAAAAATATAATTTTGATTTTAAATTTGTGTAACTGTTTATTGAAATATATTGGCGAATATTTTACTTCACAATATGTCTAGATACCATATCAAGACTACCTAATTTTTTGTATACTTTGACATTCGCCATTTTGTTTTGAACTCCTCGAAATTCAACCCGAGCGTGACGAGCTTTCGTTCGTTGAAAACAAAAACAACATGAGAGTTTCACTTTTAGACAGAAAGCCCCAATATTCCCAAATAATTTTCAAATGCCATATTGACTACGGTGATGTATACTCTATTTTGACGTCTACCCCAAGTTCAAACTTGTTTACAGTATCTAAATCCAAATTGAGGAACCGAAAAAACTGCCGAGGAACCGAAACAACGTTCAAGCGTATTACCACGCAATTGCCTGAACTGCGAGCACTCGGTGTGGAATCTAGATAAGAATACTTATAAAATGACTTAACGAGCCCCCACGACTGTGAAACTAAAATGAACGCAGGAAATTCAATTGCACTATTTGCGAATGACTTACAAGTATGCTGATTGATTTCTGTTTTACGGCAAAGCATTTTCAGGAATGTTAAGTCCAGAGTTCTCTATACAGCAAAATGCATACCTCTCAACCTGCTCGGAACCCGCAAAGTCACATAGTATGTGTTTGGCCTTGCCCGAATGTATATCAAGAATAATGTAGATTTGATTTACTCGATTATATTTATTCATATATACTCAAAATTGCCGACTAGCTAGAGAAAAAAAAGTGTTTTTTACTGAATGAATGTTTCAGAATTGTTCGAAAAGTAGCAAGCAAAAACATCGGAGTAAAAGAGTATTCACTGCTGAAACCTTTAGCAATATTTTTGAACGGTGCATATTGTGCTACTTATATCCTAAAGCTAAATGTTTCGATGAGTTACCGCCGATTGCTCTTCCGCCGCCGATATTCAACCACATGGCCATTGTGCCTGCAGTATTTTCAAACGGATTCAGTCCTTTTTGATGGCTGATATAAAAACGTGTTATATTAGTTAATGGCAGAATACATACCAAGGCGAAATATTCTAAATAAATCAACCAAAGCTATTTTCCATATTTGTGCCACATTTGAAACGATTTCACTCCAAACAAGGTTACACATGAGAATTACATGAAAACGAAAACATGCTGCTAATTTTGTTAATAACTGGGATTTATTTGTAAGATTTATAAAAAATCAACCGCCAATAAATATTATGACGATGAGACAACATTATAATGAGTTATATTATTAGAGTTTGTTCATAGATATATTTATATAGGCGTTTGTTATTTTTTCGGCATATACTTCAGAAGCTGTTTTTGATTAGAAGCAACTACAAAAAGTAATAAAAAAAAAACTGACCAAATGTCAATAATTCTAATGATGCTTTTTGTTTGCATTTCGAGCATTTCTTTCTCGTGTCGGTACTGCATTTCTTGTTTCTCTCTTGCTATTCTTTCTCGAATTTGTGCTTCCGACAACTCATTCTTTTGCTTTGATACTGCTATTTCATATTCGTTTTTAAATCTCCTCATTTCCCGTTCGTGTCGGTAGCGGTCTTCGGCCATATCCTCTGCAAAAAGTGTTTATTAGCGTTTATGGTATTTTTGATATTTGGAACAATTTGTAGTGTATCAGAATATTATACCTGCTGTCATGTTCAGTAAAAATTGCACATGCATTCAAAACATATAACTTAAGATACTGTGTTTTGATAATATAAATGGTATTTCTCTGTGAATTGAGGTACAGTATATTAGTACGGATTTTCATTTTACAATGAGTGATTGTCAGTAACTTTTAGATACCAAGAAATGAATAAATATTTGAATTCAATTTTTATTACTTAATTCAGATATATTACTTGCATTTTCTTTGGTAATTATAGTGGCTAAATGATGACTACTTTTTACATCTTGAAATATTCGAATTATAAAAACAAATCCAGCTTAAAACAAAAACTTACTGGAAAATATAAATCCCATAATGAGTATTACTCGGTTAAATCCAGTTTATTGAACAACTGAGTGTCTTCAAAATCTGGTGTTAACTAAACAATTTAGTTATTTCCTAAGAATCTCTGCGAAAAAAAGATAACATCAACAATGCTAATATTTGATGATCACGTTAAAAATAATTTGACATAAATCAACTTTCAGATTTCTATCGTGCATACAAAAACGTACATCTACAAGAAGATTTTGAAGATTTTTTTATATATTCGAGAGGACAGGTGTAATAGCATCTCGTAAGCAGCCGCGAGGTAACAAATTTGGGCAAAAAATATTCCGACTCAAGGCGTACCCGCTAACATTTAAAAATAGTTTTTGTCATTTTGAAATCTTTTGGTGTTTTTCTCAAAAGTTAATTTTTAAAGTGAAAACATATGAAATTCCACAAAACATTTAGAAAACGTTTTTTTTTATCTGACATGCGGATGCAACATTACCGATTTAAATTTAAACCTTAGATTCATCACCAACCCCCCTCTTAAATATGCGTGTAAACATGTTAGATTTGAAAGCAGTAAACCTTTGTAAATAACAGGATGTTAAAAACGTTGAGCACTTCATATAAAAAATACATTTTAACATGTTTTAACAGGCTGTTTATACATCAATATAAACAGTCTGCGGGTAAATAAAACGAAATTAGGTACGTCCACAACTTTAGAGAAAACATTGTATATTTTTCGACTTTAAAAAATATTTCATTACCGCAGTGGGTACTGGACTATAAAGTATACCGTATATACAAAGTTACTCAGGAGGCAATTTTGAAATTGGCTTCCAGACTTATGGAGTTTGGTTTGTCGAGCACATTTAACAATCCTGCAAGTAGTTTCAATGTTTAGAAAATAATTACAATGTTTACTCCTAATATTTCGTCCTCCAATTTTAATAGTTTTGGAAAGGGCAATCAGGTCTTCAGTTTTTGCAAGTGTTTGTTTTGAGGTTCTTGTTTCATTAATTTTTCTACTCTTTCGCGACATTCCCATTCTGAAAAACTTTGTTTTGCTTTTTTTCTTTCTATCTTGAGCTTCATCATATTTTTTTGTGTCTGTAGAGGTCTTCCGCCATTTGCTCTGTGAAAATTGTTTATTTTTCATCATGTAATGAAGTAGGTTTTACATCAGAATACTTATGACTACTGTTGGATTCAGCGAAGAAATCCATATATTTCCATATTATATAACTTGAGATACTGGGCTTTGAATATTTAAAATTTAAACCGTCGATCTTCGTGAATCGGGGTATATTAGTATGTATTTGCATTTGAAAATGAGTAATTTTCAGTAACTACTGTATACCCAGAGCAGAATAAATATTTTGATTTGTTTTTAATGCTCAATTCTTTTATATTAATGGCGTATTCTTATACATTCTTGGCTATGGTGGTTGAATGATGGCTTTTTTGTACATTATAAAATACAAATATTAGAAGTAGATTAAAATATCTCAAGCCTAAAACAAGAACTTACTGGAAAACAGATGGCCCATTCTGCGATTTGCTCGTCTAAACCAGGCAATTGAAGAGATGCGTATTTCCAATTGCTTTTGTGAACTAAACAATTTAGTACGAGTATTTCCTAAAACTCCCTGCTAAAAAAGAGGAGAAGAACATGTGCTATTATCTGACCATATCACATTTAGACAAAATTAAATAAACTTTCTGCATACAAAATTGCTACTGTGTATACAATAACGGGAACTCTCGACGTATTTGAACTAAGATGCCGGACACCGGAACGTAGTATGTGTACCAGGTTAGGGATAGGCCATAATTTTAATCCAATTTTCATTATTTTAGTTATATTTTGAGTTCGGGGACTAGCCAAATGACACCCGTAGTATTTGTATCTGAAATTATGCCCTAACCCTAACTTCGTACACACACTACGTTCCGGTGTCCGCCATCTTGGTTAACATACTTCTGGAGTACCCAATAACGTGCATCTACCAGAGGATTTCAATAATTCAATACATCCGAAAGGGCGGACTTACAGCGCCTCGTAAGCAGCCCTAAGAAATTTGGGTTAAAAAAGCGCTTCCGCCAACTATTTGCTTTGCGTTTTGTGCCATTTTTAGTAAATAAGATGACCATATATAGATCTAGAAGAGTTTCCTCCGAGTTAGCAAAATAGAAAAAAGGTTTTCTCTCGTTCCAAAAAATTTATGTAACGCACAAACATGAATAAACCACCAACCCCCTTTTACGTGCGTCTCGAGAGAAAGAATTGACTTGTTAGAATATGTTTTACAGTAGTTTTGTTTGAAACAAGCATAAAAGCATCCGTAAATGATTGGTTGTTAGAAACGTTTTAGATCTAACAAAGATTTCTTTGAGTTTGCAAATTAATAAAGAAAGTTTTCGCTCGTTCAAAAACTTATGTAACGCACTGACATGAACAAACCACCAACCCCATTTTACATGCGCCACGAGAGAGAGATAATTGACTTGTTTGAATATAGTTCACATTAGTTTTGTTTGTAACAAGCTTGAAAACATCAGTAAATGACTGATTGTTGAAAACGTTCCGCAAAGTGAACAAAAATACAGATTGAAGGCTCTTTCAATCATAATTCATTAGGTACTTTTGCATATTGAATCAATATTCTTTATTCGACTGTTACAAACACCAAAGTCTGTCAGAGGTTGAAGCAAAATTAGAATTTAAAAAAAAACATTGTTTTTTTACTCTGGCTTTGAAAAATGAATTTAAGAGGAATACATCCCAAACGTACTAAACTACTGAGATCGCGCAATATCGAAAATGGCGGCCGGAGTCTGGTTTGAGTCTGGTTTGGCAAGCCCTGTCATGATTTGTAAATATCTGTCCTTGATCACCAGACCTCTCAAAGCAGACGATTGCATTTGAACCCACGTACATTTGTACCCACGACAATTGAACTTGCATACTATTGCACCTATGGAAAAATTTTTGTTTTATGGATATTTGAACCCATACTAACCCTAAACCTTTGGTTTCAGCACCCGCATATAACCTCAACCCGCGGATATACACATGGGTTCAAATGTACGTGGGTTCAAATGTACGGTCACTGGCAATTCCTTATGTTTTTGATCATAGACCTTTCAGGCCGAATTAGTGATCTGCTCATGGTTTTATCCGCGGTCTGTTCTTGTTCGACAAACAAAATACCTTCGCTTAAATGTCTTGGATGCCGTCATAGTCAGCGAGCCAACACACCCGCACAAAGAAGAATATTTTTGGAAAAATCTCGACTGTCCCATGTCAACCAAGCTTAGCTTTAACTAATACCAAGTATAGGCTATATGACTTTGCTAAACATATTTTCAATGACACGGTTTAACGGGCTTTCGGCAGGTATACTGTACTGGGGGCGTAGAAAAAAGGGCGGGTTAAGCGTCGGACCCACCCTTTTTAAAATATAAAAAATATTCCCTATCTTACATACCAATTTTTGTAGGTTGAAACGTTTTTTAGACCTTCAAGACTATTTCTGGAAATATATTGCAACAGAATTGCTCATTGCTAATTTGAAAGAGAGAAATAATGATAGAATAAGCCTTTACGCAGAGCGTTGCAAACATCATGAATAAACCACCAAGCCCTATGTGAGCCACGAGAGAAAGAATTTTCTGGGTTAAATATGGTATGGTACGGGATTTATTGAGTCTGGTTTGGAAAGCTGTGGAGTGCTTTCTAAACATATGTCCCTATCACTGGGGCTCCCAAAAGCTGCCGATGGTACAATTCTAAATGTATTTGATCATAGACATTTAAGGTGGTGTGCTTCTTATTCGACCAAAAAATACCTTTGTTCTAAAATCTTTAATGCTGTGGTAATCAGTGGGTCAGCACACATGGTCCGAGCCTCCTTTTTGGAAATGTAAAAAAACATATTCTTTATTATACATAGCAATTTTAGTTTGGTTGAAGCCTTTTTAAAACCCTCTTGAAACCCATTGAAAAACTCCAGCTGTTACAGTCTAACTTGGCAATCAGAAATTCTTGTCTACGTCATTGTACTGTACTTGCTTTAAATTAACCCTGTATTGCAACAAAAGCTCTCAGTACAAATAAAAGAAACAAGCAAAGCACAAGTCTAAGAAATCTAATTTTTAAACGAGAGAAATACCGATAGAAAAAGGTCTATAAGTGCGTGCCAAACTTCGCCTCATTTGTCAAAGAAGAAACTTTGCACTTGAACAAGTTAACATCAAATCTGATTTATGATTCGAAGTATCGGTTCCTCAAAAGTAGATTAACCTTGGCTACAAATAAAAGCAGCACAAATGTGGCCACACAATAACTAATAAAACCCCGTCTGTTTGTGTAGCAAAATGAGAACTTTGTCACTTTATTGTTCCGAAAGATTATGTATAATAATAAGTCATTCATACAAAAGCCAACGAACGTGCTAATTAAAATTCTACATTAACATCAATTGAACAGATGATATAGTCACATTGCAATGTGGTGCAGAAGTGCTTAATCTCAATTCTCTCGTTTAGGTTATCTCTGTACCCATGTACATTTCCACCACTTAACGGAACCCAGGACATTTGCACGTGCATACAGATTGCACACATTCACTTTTGTACCTGCATAATTTTACACCTACTGACGATTGCTTTCCCATAAGTTTGCACCCACATACACATTGCATCCATGGACAATGCATCCACAAACGTTTGCACAGGTCAAAGTCATTCATTTATGGGTGCAAATGAATAGGGGTGTATATGATTGTGAGTGCAAATGATCCGGATACAAATGTCAGCTGGTGCTAATATACTGGGTTGCAAAAGTCCAAGGATGCCAATGTTAAGTGACCCATGTGACTGTGGCTGCATATGACTTGACTTTTAGTGAAAATGTACGGGGTAGGAAATATATGTGACTATGGGTGCAAATGGTGGTACTTTCGTAGCATACGTACCAGGTTAGGGTTACCTCTGTTCCTCTGTACTTAAGGCAAATTTCGCACGTGCATATGACTGTGAGATCAAATGTACTGAGTTCTATATTACTGTGGGTGCAAATGTACGGGGTTGCATATGACGATTGATACAAATGCACTGGGTGCAAATATGTTTGGATGCATACGCCTAAGTGTGCAAATGTAGTCCTACGTGAGTGCATATGGCTGGATAAGAATGTCCGCGGGTATAATCTATATGCCCATGTGAATATGTGGGTGGAAATGCTTGCCAGTTCAAATGTTCGCCTGTGCATATGACCGTGTGTGTAATGTCCGGATGCAAATGGTGAAAATAATGCATCGATACCATTAGAAGTTATGAACAACATTGTGCGTTGCAACTATGTCTGAGTTCATTTCCGTCTTCTGTATTGCGTGCGATCGCGTTATTTCATTCATTAGTGGGTAAATCTAGCAATTGCTAGTTTTAACTACACCTTTTTCCTCTGAAAAATTTCACAAACAAAATTTTAGTACCACCGGCGATAAGCAAGGCAAATTTATAATTCAATAGTAGATCATTCATTCTATGCATTCATTTCCAAAGTCTTTGTGATTCTTGGCATGATTGGTTAATCCAGAGCATACATTCGGAAGATGAATCCAATTTTATTATGCGTCAGTCAGCCAACACGAGATCATATTCATTCATTCGGCGCAATGTGTATGTGGATTCATCATTTTTTTCCTAATTTGTATATTTAAAGGTGTAATCACAGTGTTCTTTTATTTACAATTGCAATTAAACACATCATTTCGTGATTCAAACTTTTTTATGGTTTCTCCGAACAAATTTGCAAATTTATTGAAGTCGCATCAATATTGTTATTTTCTTTTACTAGTTGGATAGGATTGTACAGATCGCTGGATGATGACAGTTACTCGTGGACAGACAATTCAGCTCTGTCTTATCTAAACTGGCAGGAAAAAGAACCTACAAAAAGTGGTGAACTGTTTAAAGTAAGAAATATGTCTAATCCGTTATGATTTATTAGTTTTTGTTTTAGATTAGTCCAATTTTGAAGTAGAGCAGTGGATTAAAATTTTCGTTTGTTAATTTGGAATTAGTTTATATTAATTGTATCTTGCATACAGTCAGTTCTCTATTCACGAGTGCTTTACTTATATTTTGCAGGAGGTTTGCACCGAATTATCTGTGTCGAATGGCAAATGGTACGATACGACATGTAACAAAATTGGAATTTCAGTTTGTAAGATACCAAAAATGTTAGGTAAGAAAACTTCTGCATGTAGCAATTAGGGATCGTGCTACAATCCCGACGTGAAATGTTATTAACGGTGTTGCATTTGGATATCTGTATATTGCAAAAGACGTACAAACTTCTTTATATAATCAGATTTCATTGAATTACCTGGATTTGAAAATTGAAATATTATTGTGTCACTCGGTATAAAATGTACCAATTGCCAACAATAAAAATATAATTCTGCAGGAAACAGCGAACGTGACTAAAGATATCACTATATCAATCCGGTTTTAGATATGATTGTATTAATCTAGAAATACGCATACTTGTATATCCGTTATGTTATCATCTGCAAACTATTGTGAAAATAAATACTCGCTCCAAGTACAAAACAATGTTCGCAAAATCCGTTGAAATGACAAGCA